GATGTATTGGATCAGGTAACGTGTAGTTTGTATACATCATGTATGCCTTCGCATCCATTTTGTCAACAGTTGGTTGCATCTGAATTGTGAAGCTATGATCTAATCTATGGTACATTACTAATGAGAATGAAAGAGGATCAAATATTTATGACATGTTCATGACTATGTTAGCTAGATCATATGGAGAATGCAAGGAAGCAGCAAAGTTCTCCGACTGGCTGTCTTGCCCTGCATCCACCCTGCCAAAGGTGACACTGATTTTCTTCGCCGTGGTAACTTTGTACAGGCCAAAGTTACATGTAACTAGTTGGGCGTAGAAAAGCTATTTTATTTCTCGTGAGATCACAAATTTCAAAACTATGCACTTATTTTATTCTTAAATTGCAGCGAATCTTCATGGACTTGATTTAGCAGCCATATTTTAGTTGATTGGGTTCTTCTCTGCTCTCAGTTTCGTGTTCCTATTTTCTCTCTTAAGAATACCTTATCTTGATTTCTATTAGAGTCATTGGTGAACGATGTTTTCGGTGATGTTTCCCAAATTTCATTCTCCTGAGTTGGGGTTTCTATTCACACAATCACTGAACAGGGTCACATTGTTCTTCTGAAAGTGAAATATCTAGAATGATCTCAATATGGAATATGAGAAATATAAGTTCTGTCTCTAAAGATTATTTATTATCTCCCTTTCCTGACTTCAGTTGGACTCTACAACAAAGTTATGCATAAGAGATGGTCTGTATCGCTTGGCAAGGAATGCAGAACTGAGAGGGATTTGCAATTCAAGTGGAACTCCCATTCAGGAAGAATCAAACCAGTATGTATGATTCACTAGAACATCAAAACACGCTGCCTCTGATCCCCATCAAATCATAGAATTTCCTTTCTTTATCCAAAAAGGGATGTAGACATTATCTGACTTTTTAATTTTCCAAATACCCTTTTCAAAGGAGATCACTAAAGAAACCTTTTCTTTGGTCTTGAAACATTAGTGGTATTTCAGTCTTTTTTTTAATTGGGCCATAAATTTTCATTGATTATTTCTCCTAACTATGTCGGTATAAGTTACGGTTCTCGGTCTATTATCTGCTATGAAGTACAGACAGTGATAGTTTTTTGGCTCACACTAACATCAACTACAAGGCTTGAAGGATCCTTGTAGTCACATTACTTGTGAGCACTTGAATGATGAAGTATTTCCTGAAGTGTTGACCCCGAAAGAACTGAGATTGGTTTTTTTAGTATTTTATAGTAATAAACGGTTAGGAACAATCTCATGCATTATGAATTCACACAAAAATATAAGTTCAGTAATTTACCTGACTGAAATTTAATCACTGTCGCGTCATCAGTGGAGAACGAAAACGATAACTGGATGCAAAATAGTTGTTTCTAGTTACATCAAATATTAGTTAGGAGGCTATATTAGTCCAATATATATCCCAAACTAAACAATTACGCAGTGAGAAAGAAGGAAGACGGAAAATATGTGTCAACTTCTAAGCCGTACAGTCTGATACAATTCCAACCAAAACAGTACCGGATGTCCAAGAAGCTACTGGAATATTTGTAATAACCTGGATTTCATGTTACAAGATTCCTGCCAAAAGTTTCTCATTGAACACTGCTCGTACCTTCCTGGTTATTTTGTTCATTTATTAATTAAAAATTTAAGGTTTACACTGTCATTTCCTTATAGCGCCAGTTTTAATATTTTTGAAGTTCTCAAACCAACATAGATTTATAATGTCTAAGGATTGTAATTCTGTTGGAATAGCTAGAATTCGTCATCATCATTGTGTGCGACTACTCACAGCACTTGTCTTAATGCATTATTTATACCATGGTGTCGTCCCAAATGGCCGAAAGGCACTTGGGACATGCTCGTTTCCCATCTTTCTTCAATAGCTCAAGTGCCCCTGGTAAACCTTTTTTTAGTGTTTTTTTTTTTTTCGATCGTGTTCTAGATCCTGTGCTACTAGTTTTTTTCTTACGTAGAGATTTAAATGATTTTATATAACATTAACAAGTTAAGAGAATCAATGTATAACAAAAATTCAAACCCGAACGGACAGGAAGATTTTTTTGTTAAAACTGACTATCTGGCATGCTTAATTCTTTTGGTTCAAAAAATTTCTTCATTTTCCGGAAAATATAGGTTAAAACTTTTGTGCTAGCAGGCCTTCTGAGCATTTGGTGGAAACTGGTACAAATCCAATCGATCGGTCAATAGCTCAGCTACTATTTTACAGGGCTTCAGACTCGTCAACAAACCCCATCAATCATGACATAAGACACTGATTTCATGTCACAGTAAGTCTTCAAAAAACTACTCAGATGATTATATTTTTGCTTTTCTTAATCTTTGTAATAGAATGAACAGAGTAACATTTCTCGCATGAAGGTCCACTAAATATTGATCTATTGCTCTTTGCGGAAGAGTTTGGCGGTGTACACCATACAGAATAAATGAATGCAAGGATTGGGTGATGATTGCACAACCCAGATGCAACGACATGAAGCTATGCAATTTTAACGTAAATCTGAATCAGCACATGGAAGCAGGGCAGTATGTGCTTTATAATTATCTTCTCCATTTACAGAGAGCTACATGACCTCAAATGGCAAAGACTGTAATTTTCAGACAAATAATTTTAGTTTCTTCATAGATGTCAATGTGGGCGATCCTATTCATTCAAATACTGCAAACGAGAGCAGCAATTGTCCATAATTTTTCCGTCTGATGATTTTATTTTTTTTTGAAGGAATATTGAAAATTATCCATGTTCTTCCGGTATATATAATGAATAGAAATTATCTGTTTATTGTGCAACGACTGGAAATACACGGAATCAAGCCTCGTATATTTATCTGTTTATTGTCATCATTTGAACTACCTATTTTATTTTCTGAAACGGATTAAACAACTGGTGATACAGGCCAGAAGGTTGCAAGATGTGAATACTTTATTTTATAGAAATATTCACAGAGAGTGTGTGATAGGATCATACCCACTGAAATTAAAGATCTCAATGATCTTGCCGTCCTCTTTATCATGTACTGGCATGTTGCCTCATATCACCTTCACCGTGAACGAATTAGATCATTTTCAAGTTCTCTCTTGGATACCAGGAATATAGCCCGCACCATTATAAATTCATATTCATTCCATGTTCTTTCTTTGAAGAACGTGGAAGTCGTCTTTTTTTTGACATTATTATTTATTATCTGATGGCTCCTGTCTAAACATACGTGGGGTTTGTAGGCTGCATCAGACATGTCATCCTTCAAACTTTTCTTGAAGGCACGTTCAGTCACCAGATATACCTCCCCTTCACATGGAATCTCGTTCGCGCCATATGCATCTTTTGATCACGAATTTTTAAAACTTCACTGCTTATAATTTTTTAAATATAGTGACTTTATTTTAAAAAAATCCTATTATACTCGTTATTTTTATATTTAAATTATAAAGTATTTTTAATTATTCCTTGAGTAATCTTTTTGTTATGGACATAGCTTTAACACTCATCACCAATTAAACTTTGAGATTGTTGGACATAGCTTTCTGGCCATTTTCTGCCATGGATACTATCAAGTTAATAGAAAATAACAACATTTTATTTCATTTTATTTTTAAAACAATGAACAGAACACTCCGCAGAATTGGTTGGTTCCTGGGAATTGACCAGTAACACTCCACTTTGTGTCCAAATTTTTAAACCCTTGTTCTGACTCGTATTACACTAGCCAAGCAATTGTTTTTATAAAAACCAGTCTGGACAGGGTAATTACACCACTGAGGAAAAAATTGTATCGATCTCCTCCTAATTTCCAATTTTTACCTGATCCATACCGATCATATTAGAAAAACCACTACTCCTCCCACTTCTCATTAAATATCTGATATGATCTCTAAAACGTGGACTTAAAGCTTGAGGTTCCTCATCCCACCCCTTTGATTCGCAGCCTTTGGAATGATATTATGGATGATTTTTTTCTGTTATTATCATTCATTAATTATCTTAATTACTAGAAGAATTATGTTATCGTCAACTCCAATGGGTCTGTGGTCCTTTCTGTGGCTTTTCCACTTTTTTTAATCAAATATAATTTTCTTTTGTTTGGAAATAGCAGATTGAGAAATCCATTCTCTCCCACAGTTCATGGGAATTTCCTGACTGAAATCACTTCCACACACCCCACCCGAAATTCCCCCCCACCCCCAGGAGAAATAGTGCCTCTGCAGCTTCCTCAGTTGAAGCTGGAGAGGGTGTGGCTCATCTGATGGCATGGAACAGGGAAGAGGGGAAGGGGGGGGAGACTCATACCAGCTGAGACCATGTCAATGGAGCATAAGTTCAGAAAGATTCAGCGTGGTGGGTGATCCTTTCCTATGGCTGAGCTCCACACATCTGGCGCACGTTAAGGTTCCCAATCTGAGTAAAAGATCAAACGAGGCCTTTTTTTTTTTTCCTTTTTAACACTTAAGCTGAAGATGAGCTTGATATGTTATTTAGGAGGTCGCCTATCGATTATGTCACATAAAACCCTGGAAATTATCTTCAGAACGTGTGAGGTTGAAATCATAATTAAATCCTGAGCATGTGAGGTTACTGCTCGGTTCCATTGGCAAAGAAAATCGAGCCATTTTGGTAAATAATAACTAGCTGACTAATTAGAGGCAATACCAAATTAATTAGGGGAAATGAGGAGAATAACACCGCCGCTGTTCACCAGCAGCAGCGATTTTAACACACACTTTGCTAATTATCATTGTCATAAATATCCCACCAATGGCCTGATATTTACAAGTCACTGAAAACCTAGAAACAATCAGATGACGACAGCGTACCAATCTAAGCACAGAGTTCTCCACCTTCACCACACCGCGAAGGAATAAAACCAGGTAGACCCACCCACCAAGAGGAAGCAGCGAGGACCCACCATCTGCAATGGGCAAATTCCCACGGTTCTAGGGTTCTACTCGAAAAGGAACGTCAACTCACAGTCGTCCCGGCGACCAGTCCTGGCTGAATTTGGGGGAGACCGTTTATCGGGCTGGAGGAGTCCTCAGGGGCCGGGGTGGGACCCGCGGGGCCCTCGTATGCGGCCTCGTGGACCCCGAGGGCGGCGCGGCCTGAAGGGTCGAGGTTCTTGGACCAGGAGGCGTCCCACTCCACTGCTTTCGCTGTGCTGCATGCCACGCTTGGGCCCCCTGGGACTGTCAACCTCGCAGCATTCTGCTCAGGAGAGAGAATATGTGAATTGATGACTACATGGCCAGCACTGTAACATCTTACAATTCGGGTTTGACTTGCGATGATCAGAAACCAGGTAGAGTTTTATAGGGTGCTCATAGCGAGAGAGAGAGAGAGATGCCAGGTTTTCTAGAAAGGGAAAATAACTGAGATGGTTTTCTAGATGAGACAAGTTTACAAGGAATTTACAAGGAAGAAATTAGTCTATATTTTGGGTGGATGGGGGGGGGGGAAGGCGGTGATGTCAGACTGCCATACCTTGGGAAAGAATTTCTCAAAGATTGTCCTGTAGTAGTAAGCCTCCTTCGTCGTGGGGGTGTTCTCAGGGTAAACAAAGCTAGCGTTCATCAGCATTGCATCTGAAACCTGGAAGACATGAAACCGGTGCTTTTTAAAAATATGATGGCTCACAGTGAATGAGCGAATAATAGCAAGATCGCTAATAATTCGTCTATTTATCATTAACTTATCCTCCAAAAATTGAAATAAAAAGAAGAAGTTAGATATTTAATTGATTCTTAGTCAGCTTCAAGGGGATGAGAAAATACATGCTCATTTGCATGATCTTTCAAACCATCAATCCAGCTATACCCAACACCATCACTGAATTGTTCTTTCTGCCTGTACAAGATATGCTGGAACAAGCAGATTAAAAAAAATCATGTCAACATGTATCGAAGAGCATGGACATCTATATAATTCTTGATGTAGCAAATAATACAGGATTGGCATCAAACCTTTGGCAGAAAAGGGTTCTGTTCATCATCAAATGCATTGCGCAGGACCCATTTCTCAATCCGACCAAGGTCGGGCCTTATCTGAAATCATTAAACAGTAGAAAGAAATATTCAGTGAAATCAATTCATACGAAGATTATTTTCAATGCTTTCACTGATTAGGATTCAAAACTAATCAAGCAAGTTTAAGGGAGGAACTGAATTTAGGTGTCCATATAACCCAAGGACAAAGAACTCCATGACCCAAGGAACAATACATATTAATTGACTTGGACAATCATACACTCAATCCTAATGTCTTCCAGATAACAGCTGGGAGCACTCAGCATACAAAGCCTTGCAAAAAGCAGGGCCTTTCCATACTACAACTCGCGCATCTACGTGCACTATTCTTAAAGAAGGTGATACGCTGACGACAGGCTCATGGTGTCAATGATTGGTAGCTTCATGCTTGAATATCACATGTAACTGAGATGGCTAGGTTCCAGAGACTCTGCCTAAAGCTCACTGACGAAAGTAGGCATCCTAGATTTCCACTCTGGATCAGGGTTCTAGTACACGCTGTGGCAACCCAACGAAGCTAATCCGTTTTCCTGAGCTACCAATATCTGCCCAATATAATGATTATTATTCATAATTTTCCTCGACATGAATTTCTTGAATCAACAACGAAGTAAACCCTTTTATGACATAGAAGAAAAATAGTTAGATTCTTCTTGAAAGCAAAGTGGGAGGGGTGAGGGGGTCATGCTTACCATTTTCCAGTCTGGATCGATCTCCATTGCAATATTGATAAAACTTTTATCCAAAAATGGAACACGAGCCTCAAGACCCCACGCTGAGGTTGACTTGTTAGCCCTCAAGCAATCATACAAATGAAGAGCTTTAATCTATTAAAAAAAAATCATTAACCCGTGAATTTAGTTAGCAAACGTACAAAGAATCATAGTATTCTTTGTCAAGAGCTACATACAAATCACTAGTTAATGTCTCTTTGAAATCTTGAAACAAGTCATGTTTAGCCAAAGAAAAGCACTATGTAAGAAGTACGTCCCATCATTGTCCCAGCTGAGTTAAAAAAAAAAAGTTCTCCATTGAGATTTAAGCATAAATAAAATGTATAAAGTAAATCTTATGACAACAGAATAATACCACAAGTTACTTGACAGACGACTTGTTACAGACATACAGACATAGAACACAATACTTTTGCTGTCTAGCTAACATTCAGTAATTATTTCTTCGAACAGATCAATCTATATAGCTAGGTCCAATATTTTCGCCCACGCTTGCCCTGAACTTCAAATGATATGATTCTATTTAATCGTAGAGAAGAAAAAGGAAATTTCCTTCTGAACATGCTCACGTAAAATTTAGAAAAACCTCACAGATTGAGGATCGGATAACTTATATAATTATAATACAATAGAAGAGATAAACTTCAGTAAGCTTTCTGACGGACAATTGAAATAGGAGTAACAGAGGACAAAGATAAACAATATAGGATAACTAGTATTATGTGTACACAGTACAATTTCAGGAAACAAGACGACAGAAAATGACATGTTCTTGTTAGCAGACTATTTAAAGCTTCATTAAGAACAATGCATTTTTTCATCCCATGTAGATCACTTTTAGTACAAAACATTGATGATGGCATGTTTTTATACACAAAGAACAATGCAAGAGACGAACTAGCTCTAGACAAGAAAAAGGTCATACGCTGTGGTAGCCATTGTGTATGTATCAGGAAGAAGACATGTGATAATGACAATACCTTCCTACACGTTTCCTCATGAAACTCCTCCTTGTTTGGCGCTTTGTGGAAATACAAGTATCCTCCGAAAATCTCGTCAGAGCCTTCACCTGAAAGAACCATCTTCACACCCAATGACTTAATTTTCCTCGACATCAAAAACATGGGAGTGCTGGCTCGGATAGTTGTGACGTCATATGTTTCGATATGATAAATTACTTCCTCAAGTGCATCAATGCCTTCCTGAAATAGATGATTAATTGACATAATCAGATCATGTTTGGGGAAACTTTACTCTGTAGAGAAGAAAAACTCCCTTTGATCATCAGAAGACTTCAGTTACCCATAGCACAGGGTACTGCCAACAAGATTGATTGCATGAGGGAAACGTTAAAACTGTTTGACGGTATATTAAACTAGGATAGGACATAGTTCATGGCAGCTGTTGCCTTTAGAAAGAGTACAAGGGAAGATTTCAAAACAGGACCAGGTCTTGCCCACAAAGACACTCAGCCGGCAACAAACATGACATTCAAATTAAGATAGTAATGAATTTTACTTGTACTGTGAAGTGAAACTCGTGATGAAGGGTTCCAAGATAATCAGCAACCTCTCTAGCAGCTCTTAGATCAGGAGAACCCTACACACAAAGCAGAACAGAAAAATAAAGGCTGTGAAAAAAAAAAAATCTCAGAACTTGGGAGCACTGTTTCTCTACAACAAAAACAATTAAACATTAATAGCAGCAAATTAAATCCATAAGAAAATGCCACATATCAAACATCTTAGGAATTCTAAGTAATACTGGCATGCTTCTCAGCTAACGTTACTGTTTCCTACGTTTGGAACGATACAACGTCCCTTGGCATCAACTGATTTTACCAGAATAATTTTCTTTATTAACTATGGAGGTTGACACTAGATCTATATAATATTTTCCATTTCCTGAAATTCTCCAAATTTTGTATTGATCAAGGAGAAGGAACCAGTGCAAGAAAAAAATTCGTGGAGATTTTTTTCCAAATCCTTCATTTACTTTGGAAAGAAAAGAAAAAAAAGCACGAAGCACTTATTAGGAAGACAGGGAAGCAAGCATAGTGGGAACGAGATAAAATAGAGCATCTTCACAAAACAACTTGAGTCGATATGTGATCTGGCACATTAACAAACTGTAATAAGGTCGATCTTCTTTAGAAACATGGATAATCCCTCGGCAGATTACCCTATATCTTACCAAAGGGAACCTGTTCACTGGATCAAATATGCTATCATACAAATCAAGAAAATCACATGGTGCCTTTCTCATATCATTCATGCAGAAAGAAAAAATTCATAATTATATGATGGGTTTAGTTGCGAGTTGAATTTAATAAAAACATACCTTTAGGCCAATACAGAAGGTATGCAACTGAGAGCCCCACTGCCTAGCAGCTTTTGTGCCCGCCAAGTGCCGTGATGCAACAGCAGCAACAAGTGACGAATCAAGACCACCAGACAATAGTACACCGAATGGCACATCCGTCATAAGTCGCTTAACCACAGCCTGGAAAGGTTTTGGCAATATATTAACTGGTAAAGATTATGTGACAAAAAAAAGTGCGAAAGCTTAGGTACTTTAACTAAAACAAAGATAGAACTGGCAGTGAAATAGTAGGACACTATGAATCGCATAAGCAGTTCTACAAAACCAAAAAAATAAAAAATAAAAAAATGAAAAAAATGCTGACAACTGAGAGCTAGACTATGGGGAACCATGTTGACAGCTTATATACTTCGCGATCATTTATACGATACAAGAAGCCAAAACTTTCATCTATTCATTAACTGACAGAAAGTAAAAAATAATGCTTATGGGTCATCTTCTTCTGTACACAACTATGGGATTTTGCCTTGTCTGACAGGAATACAATCAACAACCATGCACAGATGTCCCGGTGAATCATAGCTAACTCAGTTGACATTCTGGATAGCAGACTTTCAAACTAGGCTATTTTTGGAAAAAAATTAAAGGATGAAATCCAAAAGATTGCACAGTCCAGTATATGTTCCTGGCGGCAACTATGAACTGAAAATATATACAACTTTTCAGATCGGGTGAGAATGCAATGAACCTTTTCAAAGGCCTCCCGTAGAACCAGTGGATCGTAAGGGGTTGAGGGTATGCGTTCTGAATACCATGGTGGGTTATACCACCTCCGGAGACCACCTGAAGTTTTTGGGATAAACTTTTAACATCGATAAAAGCCACATGAAGTGACGATAACCATTAAGCATGTACTTGTGTCTCCCAAGAAAAGATACCATACAGGCATTGCGTTTAGTTGGGAAGCAGAAACTTTCTTCAAGGGAACAGAAGTATTCAACGTTTGTTTGATGGTTTACCATTTTTGCTGGAATATAAGTGTCCAGGAAGAAAAGACACAAATCGTTCACAATCATCACTCAAAGCTTTCATTTCTGATGCAAACCAAATTGAACCTGTATAGGGAAAAACATTCCCATGAGGTAAAGAAAAAAAACTAAACAAGTTGAGCAATTTAAGAAAAAAAAACATTGTCCCAAGCTTACATATAATAAATGTTATGGACCTAACTTCGTAGACAGCGTATAGACATCATTTAAAGGCCTGAAGGTGGTTGCTAGATTCTAGAGGGATATAATTTCATGGTTACCGAAGAGTTAGTTCTAAGCAGGAGTCTCAGTAAAAGAGGGAGATAATCAAGGAACATTCTTCAAATAATTTAACTCGACAGGAAAAACATTGCCATAAACATCAAACCATTTTAACATACCATCTAAACCCCAGCCCATGTATAACGGGGTGATGCCAATAGCATCACGAGCAACAATGAAACTTTTATCACGGGTATCAAGTAGAACAAAGGAGAACATCCCATCCAGCATGTCTACAAAATCTTCTCCATACTCTTCGTACTGTTTCATTTCAAGGGAAAAACAGTGTAACATTAGTACAATATAAACAACACCACATTCAATTGAAATATCTGATAATCGTATTCGAAGCTGATGCCACAATTTTACTGCACACCGCATACTGAACAAAAAAAGGTTCCATAATTTCAACCACTTACAAGATGAGCAATAACTTCACAGTCACTGCCAGTGCTGAACTTATGAGATTTAAGCTTACCCCTCAGCTCTTCATGGTTATATATCTCCCCATTAACCTAAAAGAAAGAGAAAATGATAGACAATTACCACAACATTCAATTCGGAAGCCAAACAAGAGAAAGGTGACTCAACTTACACATCAAAGGACCTTTTTTAAACAAAAGTAAATAATATCTGAGACATCAACCAAAGGAATATAAAAGCTCAGGAACAATATCATATAATTAGGTCATTCAAATCATACATATTTGCACACGTGTCACACGACCAAAATACCAGAGAACAATAAAAAATAGGACAAGCAAAAATTGAACCCTGGACAGACATAAGACACACAAACGGATTGAAAAGATCAAATGTACTAAATCGAGGCATAAGGGAAATGAAACTGTTTAGCCTCATGAATATCAGTAAAATATGCCCATCATCCTAGCTATGCTCTTCATTAAAATTGAAATGTATGAGGCTCCAGAAAATTTTGGCATATGAGAGAAGGGAATGGCCACAGAGAGAGAGAGAGAGAGAGAGAGAGAGAGAGAGAGAGAGTACTGCTCCATCCATAGTCGAGGATAGTGGCATAATAAGTTTTAAATTATCTTTCATAAAGTCAGTTCTTTGTCCAGTGGAAATAGCAAACACACCACTGTCAAGATTGTCCATTATAATGATTGTGGAGTGATAGCTCAAAGGAAACGGCAATAAGTACACAAACAAGAGCCTTTCATCATTTTATTTTGGTGGGCAACGTACAGGATCTTCTTGAGAAGATTTACAGTCATTGTAGAAACACAAGATCCAGGAGATTCTATGCAACAGAAACAGCTGATAATTGATAAACACGCGCCATTTACTGCTTTTAACAAAACTATTTTATACGATTAAGGCCAAAAAAGGATTTAGCACACAATATTCAATGTAGCAGGACTCAGTAGTAAATTTCATGAAAATCGCTGGAGAATCAAGCAGTTTCTCCAGCGACTGATCTTTCCAGAATAGGATTCTACAGCTAAGAGTTTTACATAATCGTTATGTCCACTTTAAAATAAGAGCTTAGGAGTTCTGCTTAGGGTATTCAAGGATTAAGAAAAGAGGCTGAGAGATGCTATTGGTAATAACGATTTGCTGCAAGCTAGTTGAACCCTTCTCATTTCGTACTCTTCAAATATTTGGTTCAGAAGAGAGATCAATGCAATTTGCCTTAGTTGAATGTCTGTCTATTTTCATGAAACAAGCTATTATCGATCAAAAGAGAAGAATTCTCTCCCAACCTTCTATGAAAGATCAGAAAATATCGTCCACTGATACAGAAAATTGCAGGAGACTTGAAAATATCGTCCACTGGTACAGAGTAGAGAAGAGAAGTCAATAAGAGGCCAATTTTGCATGTCTACCTTTAAATAGATCCTGCATATGCCGACTCTTTTTTACCATATACAACTATTCACATATAAATATGACGGAAGCACCTTGTCTTGAAGGTGAACAGTCCCCCTCTACTGGGTGTTGTCTGTGGGAAGATGCAATAAATATGAACCTAAAAAAAGACAGTCCGGTATTTGAAAAAGATCTTTCCATCAATAGACAGGAATGAGTGTTTGATACATCAACAGATAGAGGGCAAGATCCATTTGGTCTTTAAATATCACTAAAAATCTTTTATTCCTCCATTGTGGAGTGGGTTCAAATCTAGAAGGGATGACAGCCATATGCAAAAGAATTACAATAATTACAAAATACTTCGGACAGAGAATGCTGATGTAATGCGAAAAATGGCTTTCATACTGAACTCGAGTTCCTTTATAAAAAACCAAGAGTATAAGAATTGGCATATATTATTAAAAATAAATATTTTAAGAAAGCAAAAGGGATTGAGAAGACTACCACCAGGGGGAGGGATGAGAAATGTGAAAACACCAGAGAAACATGATAAAAAAAAATTATACTTTCAATAAAGTATTTTTTTGGTAAAAATTAGATAAGAAATGTTTCAGTAAAGTCTTAGTTTCAAACAATCAATGGAATTTCATAAACGTCCATAATTTGTTAAAAATACACTTAAATTGGACATATTAATTTATATATATATATATGCTGGTACAAAGCAAAGTGAGTTACAGCTGGGCTTATATTTATATACGTCAGTAAATTATATTTAAAACAATAAGCTGGTAACAACTATTTGAAATTTGATAACCACGTAAAAATTAAATAGGCCAAAAAAAATAATTTACTAAACAATGAAATTACATTCTCGCCCTTCATGCATCATTAACTCCAATAACTCCTTGCTTCCCTTCCCACTTTCAATTCTGCTTTTCACCAATATATTTATAAAGAATGGTCAAGAGCACAATACATGGTATATATTTCCAAACACAAAGCCAAGCTGTAACTCATTTTCCATTATGTTTAAAATCTGAATATTATTATAAAATAAATATTTTCCACTTCTAGGATTTTCGGAAGCATCGATTCACACTCATGCTTCTTGCTTGACTTTCAGCTTTCTTTTTGACTATCTGAACTATGCGTTAGTTTTTTATGAAAGGCACAGTGTCTGAATATGAGAATTACAAACTACAGTCTATGAAAAAAACTGTGACCCATAGGATGAGTGCACACCGTGACAACAATAGTTTTATCCTCATTGTATAGGGGTTGATCTCCCGAAGTTGGGTCCATAATAGCCAATCGTTGGTGAGCAAGATAACAATCCTCAAAACAATGTATCCCACTCCAGTCAGGACCCCTATGGCGTAACCTGGTAAACATAAGCAACAAAGAAAATAAGGACGTATTACAATTGGTAGAATTCATACAAGAAATTGTCTATAGTATTCAAAATAATGAAGTAATCCTTCGTTTTACAGGGAAAAATTAAAAAATAATCGAAATAAAAATATTTTTCGCAGATTAATTAACATATGCTGAGGCTTTTCTGATAAATGTACAATCATTTGAAGATTAAATTGGCTACTTGGGCAAAGAAAACAACTATATCTTAGCAACGAGCAGAACCTATGTTTACATTAAGCAAATGAGTAACTTTTACACCCAGAAGGGAAAGTAAAGGACACTAGAGCACTGAAATGACCATTGGGAAAAAAATTATTCTCTTTTCTGTGTAAAAGTTTCCGCGACTACGTCTTATATCGCACTGAAAGGACGCTAAGCAACTATATGTTTCGTACTGTGTTCCAATACGAAACGAAGGAAACTCATTTCAGAGAAAGAAGTAAAGAAAGTCATTTCCATATATTTGTCACGATTTTCATTCAGTAGAAGCCAGTCGTCCAACAAACTATGACATGTTCTCATAGGTGAAAAAACGCTCTCTTAAAAAGACCGGAAACGTTTCTCAAAATATGACGGAAAACATCTGCAAAAGGCATCCCGACCGAAATATTTTTAAAATAATAGTTTGATTTTAATTTTTTAGACTAATCTGGAGTCAATGAGCATCGGATGGACCATCAACTACATCGAAAAAACAAATTAATCCGCCCAATGTCTGACGCATACGGAGTGCAGTAGCTGGGGCAAAGATAGATGACCCGCCAATGTTAGAGTGCATCCTCGCTCGAAAATGATAGAAGTGCGTATAGAAAAAGCCTCCAAAGAGGTTTCATGAGACGAGCCCTTTCCACAGGAAACTCGAACCCATATAATACTCTTAGCAACACGTCGTTACATCAGCATGCAACCGTCACAGTGTTGTCCACCAAAATTTCCGCAACTACGTCTTATATCGGCAGAACCACAGCAAGTTTCTTCGAGAGAGGAACTTCAGCCCCAGGGCCCGAGCAGCCAAGTGGCCTCCTCCACCTCACATTGCTCGTCCGAAGTGGCGAGAATTGAAAAGCAGAGACACTAGCAGCAGCTTGGTTGACGAGGAGCAGGAGGAGAGACCCTACCTGCGAGAGAGCTCAATGACGCGGGATCTCCTCGCAAGCGAGGCATCGGCGCAGCCGAGAACCGCTAAGATTCCGCACATGGCGACGCCCCTGCGGGATATCGAAACTAGAGAGCGGCGGTGCCGGAGCTGCAGATGGAACTCCCCCCCCCGAGAATCCGACGACCCCCTACCACGCCCTTTTCAGCAGTCGTCGCCGCCGCTCCTGCTCCGCAAGATTCCGCTTAGGGTTTCATCACGCCTTTTACAGGAATCATCTGACAGGGACAGAGGCTGTGCGTCCACGTGTACGGTCATATCGGTGGGCCTCACAGGATCAAGGGTTTGGTGCATCTCAGAATCCAATCATTTCGTGACACGTATCGCATCGCTACTATTCAGTCAGATATCTCTGAAACAGAGGTGGCACTTCCGTGCCTCGAAAATCTGACCGTACGATTCCTCCGGCGGAAGTATAGACACAATTTATAATGTTTCCGAAAACTTATTCGTAGAAGTGAGTGAACTTTTGACATTTAGCTGTTCATAAAACTTCTAAATAAATAAAATTATAGAAATAATGATCACAAAGGGTAAAAAAATGGGCATAAAAAAATCACGATATTATGAATTTATGAGTATATATTTTTTCTTGTTCCATTAAAATAGAACAAAGATAGCCATCTAAGTGACCAAATGAAGTTCATATATTTCCTTAATTTTTTTATTATAAATAATTTTGGGGGTCTGATTCTACTTCCGTATATTTAAATTAATAGAGTCATAGTTTTTGGAAAAAAAAATCCAAGTGGCATTATTATAGCTTGCCAAATTGTACATTCTAATGAAATATAAAAATCCTAAATGATATCCTCATTGATGAAAAACACAACACCTACGTCAAGAACATTAATTGATAATTAAATAGTGTTGAAATATTTAATTTATCAATTAAATATTTGAATATTGTTTAACGTAAAAGTTATAATGATAAGTAAATATATTCATGCATTAATGTATTTGAATCTTATTGAATCAAATATGCCACTTTTGATGACTATAAGTAAAAAAAATTAAAAAATTACCTTAATGGTGTTGGTTCCTATCAGTAACAGAAATACTTACAAAATGTAGGAGTTGATCCTTGGGTCAACGTAGATGAAAGGAATTTTTTGTCATAAGATTCAACCTTTACATAGAATTGTGTCTAAGAACTAGCTTTAGGTTATGTATAGGTACAACTTAAAATATTGGAAATAAAACCATGATAGGTCAACCCTTGTGAACAAAAACTTTCCTAGTTCAATATGTCATAGGTTTAAAGGGTTTACTTGATACTTTTTTTCATCTTCAGTTGATATTTTCTCAATTGATTCTTCCTCATTTATGTTTGTTGAAAAACTATCTTTTGTCATTAATTACAAAATGACTTAGAAAATATCATTCCATTTTTCGGAGCCATTATTTTATTAATTTTTGAAATAAAATATAATATATTCATGAAAAAAGTGAAATACTTTCGCTAAGCTTGAGTAATGGGATCCTGAACATGCAGAGGAATGGGAAACCTTGAATAATAGAAGTGTTTGGATTTATTTCATCTATTTTTTCATTGGAATAATGGGGATACACAATTTTTAAAAAAATATTTACTAAAATAGATTTTTTTATAACTTTAATAAAAATACATAATAAGGTATGGTTTTGATACATAAGTGTTGTTTTGCACAAAGTGTTGTTTTGATACATTGACAACAGATTTTCCTCTCACTATACATATCATAGTCGTCGGTACTTCAATTAGAATTGAGCTCTCTCATTCTTCTTACATGATTATTGATTTTTTCCCAAATTTTATATCTATAAATAATTGGCCACAATATAACTCTCAATAATGTTGTGGAAATATTTCCATTAGCAATTTTAGTTCTTCCTCTTTAGAGAGAGTTTTTCTATCCTAAATTAATGTTGTATATAAATATTAAAAGGACCTAATGAGACATCAATTATCTAGACTCTAATTCTTCTAGTAAAATGTAGATTGGAATTTAAGTTTTTATTCTCACCATATGAGTAATCATCAGGGAATGTCTTTCATTGGAATATTTCTTCAACCTAATAAGTTTTTGGCACAATAATTTAAAAACATAAATAGAAATAATGTTCTTGTTTTCCTACAATCTCCATCTCTAAAAAGAAAAAATTGTATCCTATTATTATATATAAGGTACAATGAATGTAGAGATTTGCTTGGAACTAGAAATATGGAATTCAAAAGGATCAATTGGGAAATGATAATGTGATGAATAATAATACACAATGGACCTTTGCTATCATATCAAAACATTACTAAAGAGAAAAATCAATATATATCACCATGTAAGTTGTGTGGGGGCCTTTGTAGCCATATGGGTCTGATGTTAAAAAAAAATATTTTTATTTCAATATAGAAATAATGAAAGTCACGATTCATGCATAACTTGAGCCATTTTCTAACCACTAGATGCTCTAGATTTTACAACAATTAGTAGAAGAAATTATTGAAAACAAATCAACTATCGCTCATTAACCTTTTGAACCTCATGAATCATTAAGCTCACAACCATTTCCAAGTCATGTTGTCAAGAAGATTTGTAAGCATTATTTTTTTTATTAATCCTTATTTTTTCAAGTAAACTATTGAGTATTAATTTAAAGGGTTGATTTAATACTCATAATATATAAAAATAGAATTAAATATATATTGTCTGATTTTTTGATATTTTGGTTCCATTTATTTTGAGAATACTTTTAACACCTAGCCATACAAGTTTTCCCATGCTCATAACTCCGAGTGCCAAGAAATCCATGATATTTTATATTTTAAATTTATTCACATAATTTTATTAATTAATGGGAAGACAAGAACACTTTCTAGTTCTTATTTTTTGGCAATAAAATTTTAAAATCATATTATTATAATTTATTAGATATAAAATGTAACAAAGAATGAGGTAACTAAATGGCTCGTCCTGAAGATGTAGATTCGGAAATGTAATAGGTACAAGGAAATACACTGAGTATGGGGTAAATTAGTTTATGATATTCTAATACAGGGGTTAATTAAAATAGTGAACCACCAAGGCTGGCTATCGATTTGTCCGGTAGAGGGGGGAAAAAGGTCTGCGTAGGTCGGCAGAGTGGTAGGCACCGCCCCATCACGCCGTCGCTTTCGAGATCGGAAGCCTGAACCCTAAGTTAAGGGGGGAGATCTCTCTGGGTCTGATCCTCGGGAGTTATGAGCCGGCATGGGAAGCACTGGCGAGCAGGTGGTGGTCGTGGCGGGTCCGGCCTGGGCAACCCCGACTACGGAGGAAGGGGATGAGGACAGGAAGAAGCAGCGGCGCCGCGCCAGTCGCCGTTCTAGGCGTGGCCTAGGTTCGCTCCCCGCTCATTCCGTTTGAAGAAGCCTTTGGTTCCGTGTTCCTGGGGTCAAGTATTTGAGAGGATCTTAATTTTCTGTGTGGTGATAGAATTTAGGAGTTCGGCGGATGCATACCACAATGAGAATAATGGCGTGAGCAGTCGAAGCGTCAGTGGTGACGGTTATAGACTCTTGCCGGAGGGTGACGACGCGAGGAGTGCAGAGGAGGCGTCGGAAGTGGTTTTCAGCTCTCTGCCCAACATGCCTATTAAGGCTTCTTGGGAAGGATATGCAAGATGGGGGGAGGTTTCGTCTTCGGTGCCACAGTCATTAGCTGCCCGTGAAGGGAAAATCTCCGGTTCCGTCCCGATGCGTGGTCCTTTATTCGAAGATAGGAGCCGCAAGAAACTCAGTGGATTCGGGAGCCCCAGATACTTCGATTCTCACTGGACTGAAGACGCTGTTAACCAAGCTTTAGAGGTCAGATTTTATTCAATTTTGAGTACTTCTTCAAACGATTCTCAGGGTTTTGAGGTTTGATGAGTTGCACGTCGTTCATATTATTTTACAGAATGGCCGCGCATTCAAGGCAGTGTTTCGTGTGAATGCATTCAATCGTCTGGAGGTGTGGTCATGTATCCTTGTTGTCTGTCATAATTTTTATTGTCGTATAATGAAAATTCTGTTTTTCTTTAGGCGTATTGTACGTTGGTTGGTGTTCCAGTTGATATTCTCATCAGTGGAGCTGCAGCACAAAATAGAGCGGTAAGGAATAAGAAAATTACTTGAATTATTAACGTTCATAATTTGGTTAAACTTTTTTTCCTGTTGAATTTGATTGTTCTATGAACAACATTTACTTTCATCTAAATTTCGACGATTTATTTCGTGTTATAATGTATGAATGGTTGCTCGAGCCTTGTAGGATATTCTGGTTTTCCTTTGATCTGTCTCATCATTTGAAGAGAGTTACTTAGGTATCACTCCCTTAGAAGGAGGGTGGTGAATACTGTTGAATTGAATTTCGATAATTACATGTGATGTAAGATCTCAGTGGATTTTTATTGTGAACTTTTACTTTTATTTCTTTATAATATTATTAGCGGGTAAAATCATGCCTATTGCTCTCTATCGTTGCTGACCTGAGACAGGTTTGTAGCTTGATTTTTGTTACGAATATGTGCACCACACAATTTCCTGTAACAAATAAGACTTGAACAGCCCGTTAACTTGTTTCAGGTAGGAATGTGTAGCTTATCCGGCATACAAATCTGCATTGCCCAAGCGTTGAATCTGGCATTGGAATGGATAGATTAATCAGAAAGTTGCGCATGGGACGAATTGTTTTATTGAAAATCATAAGTTCTAATGGCGAATTCAATTACACAAAAGTTGAATCTAATTCTACATTAATTCGGCTTAGCTTTCTTTTGCGTACTTCCTAAGCATAGACTCTAAAATCTTACTGAATTAGCCTACCTCAGAAGCAGGTGTAGCCCACAAGTGTGATAGATTTTCAAATAGACATCCAATTGTTAATGTTATGCTGCAGTCTTGCAACAGATATTAATAGGTTGTGCATTATACAGGTGTTATTTAAGTACATATTATCGGTCATGTTGGATAAAAGAAAACCAAATTTAACATGGGATAACAATCTGGTGAGAGATGGAATTGAAATAATGTAGTGAGAGGGTAGAAGTGCAGGAGGGACACCTCTTCTTTAGGATTCGTTTTTCTTCCTTCTCTGTTTTCTTTTCATAATTTTCCTTTTATGGCTTCCTAGCATGTCTTCTTAACAATGTGCTTGTTTTCTTTCTTTTTTTTAAATTTTCCCATATTAATTGGATATTTTCTTCAAAAATGTGGAGGACTCTTGTTTTGTTCCATTTAGGTCTTGCTTTCTTTTTTTTGTTGACGAATTTTTTTATCTTTTTATGTGGTATAAATGTGTACTGCAATTTTCTAAAAGACGGAAGTTATTTTATTTAACCTCATTGATTTTCTAGGTAGAAGGTGATGTTGTTGCTATCATGTTGAATCCCGTTGCGTCATGGACGAGGCTGAAGAGTTCAGCTGTTCAGTTGTCCAATTCTGATTCTATAGTTGAATCCACTGTGTCATTAGACGTAACTGAAGTAGTTAATGGTACTGTAAAAGACATAAGTTGTGAGCATTCTTGTTCCAATGGGAGCAAGCTTTCATCTGAAAAGTGCTCCCATCGTCTTGAGAAAGTTGTGTTTAGTGAGGCCCCTTTCTCAGATTCAGGGAGTAGACCTTCAGGCACTTGTTGTTTGCATGATGACCATCAATATTTTACTCCAGAGGCATTAAATACTGTACATGATTTGGAAGATGGGGAACTTGAAAGATCGCTGAAAGGAATTTGTAATTTGATTAGTTCTTTCCCTTTGAAACGACCTACTGGTAGAGTCTTAGCTATTATTGAACAATCTCCGCGTCGGGAGGCTGTTGTTGGTTTTCTTTCTGCTAAAAAACGTTCTGATGAGAAAGTGTTTAACAAGCAAGATGATGGATCCACTCTTAGCAGACAACATGATTTTTCATTATTTTCAGATAGAGAAAATGTGTATTTGGTGCCAACTGATGCAAGGTTTCCTGAGATGGTGGTCACGGTGGGGAGCCTTCCTGATTATCTGAAGGGAAAACTAGCAGTAAATGATACAACCATTGGAAATGAGTTGCTTGCCGCCCGAATTGAAGACTGGAGTGAGGAAAGTTTTCTGCCTCAAGCGCACGTGATGCATGTTTTTGGTCAAGGTGGAGAGATTGAACCACAGATTGCTGCTATTCTGTTTGAAAATGCTATCTGTTGTGCAGACTTTTCTTCTGAGTCTCTTTCTTGTCTCCCGACATTACCCTGGAAGATACCTTCTGAAGAACTTGAAAAGAGGAAGGACCTCAGGGATCTGTGCACATTCACCATTGATCCTTCATTCGCTATTGAATTGGATGATGCTTTATCCTTTGAAAAGGTGTCAGATGATGTGTATCGTGTAGGTGTTCACATTGCAGATGTTTCATATTTTGTTCAGCCAGATAGTGCACTGGATACAGAAGCTCAAGTTCGGTCTACAAGTGTTTATATCCTACAGCATAAACTGCCCATGCTGCCTTTTTTACTTTCCTCAAAGTTAGTTTCTCTTCTTCCTTCCGAAGATAAACTTGCCTTCTCTATTATGTGGGAAATCAATCTCTCTGGAAACGTTCTGAGGCAGTGGATTGGCCGTTCTGTCATCCGTTCTTGTTGTAAGTTGTCCTATGAAGATGCTCAAAAAATCATTGACGAATGTGATTCTGCTTCATCATTGCCTGCATTGCATGGTCAATTTAAGTGGAAGGACATTACCACGGCAATTAAAAAACTTCATGAGATATCAGAAAAGTTGAACGAGAATAGGTTAGAGTATGGTGCTCTTGGGTTGGAGAATGCCAAACTTGAGATATTGTTTGATGACTATGGCAATCCATACGACAGTACTCTTCGTCAACAGATGGCTTCCCACTCCCTTGTTAGGGAATTTATGCTTCTGGCGAACAAGACTGCTGCCAAAGTTATATCCAGAGCCTTTCCTGACTGTGCCTTGCTGCGCAGACATCCAGAACCAAACTTACGGAAACTTAAAGAGTTTAAAGCATTTTGTGGCAAACATGGTTTTGAGCTAGACACAGCAACATCTAGCCATCTTCACCTCTCACTGGTGAAAATAAGGGAAAGGCTTAAAGATGATCCCGTTTTGTTTGACATTCTCATCTCCTATGCTTTGAGACCAATGCAGTTGGCAACTTACATCTCTACTGGTGACTTTAGAAACAGGGAAGATGAATGGGCTCACTATGCATTGGGAGTTCCACAGTACACACACTTCACATCACCTCTCCGAAGGTATCCTGATATTATTGTGCATCGAATGCTACTTGCTGCACTTGAAGGAGAAGATATGTATATGAGGCAAAGAATTCAGTTTGAAGCTCGTCAGGGAGAAGCATACAATGGATCTTCTAACTACCATGGGACTGGTGCCTTTTTTGACGAGTCAACTGCAGAATCTGCAGAATTTAAAGAGGCATTGTTCTCTGCTGCTGTTAAGCATGGGGTCCCTTGTGCCACAGAACTTTCAGAAATGGCTGCTTACTGTAATAAAAGGAAATTAGCTAGCAAGCAGGCTGAGGAAGCTGGGGAGAGAGTGTACGTGTGGGCTTTGCTAAAAAAGAAAGAGGTTATAATCTTTGGCCTTTCCTCCTATACTCTCTACGTTTGTTTCATGACATGCTTTTTAACTTCTTGCCACTAAAATCTTGATTATTTGCATGTGATTCATTGAGAATTGAAAATTGTTTAGTCAATATATACCACGAAATTTCATTAAACTTTATGCGTAAACTTCTTGATAGAGGGGGATATTCCTCTCATAGAATGGGCCAAGAACATATCCTTGGACCAGGAAGTAGGAATCCAAGGTCAGCTCTATCACCCTTGAGATTGGGGTCTTACACCCCTCCAAGCTTATAATACTGAAGCACAAACAAAGAAGAATGGATGCTTATAATTTTGACCGTATATCGTTCCCACTGTCTGCTCTGCCCTATAACTCATGTAAAGACACCGTAGCCATTGATCATTCTTTAAAATCGGCTCAGGAACCCAACCAGACGAACCACAACGTCGATGATAAATCATAGTTTTTCTCTTGAGGTCAGGGTTAGATTGGGAACATTTCTGGATGCCTATGGCCATTTATGGAATAGGCCAACTAACTGCGTACTGGTTTGGATCAAACAGATTCGGGTCGATGTGTCAACCATCAACCATTGTAGTTTCCCTGGGTCCTTTTTGTGAAAATTCATACTGTTTGCTTGCTTATCAGATGAGATTCAATTCTAGGGTATTTCTTCTAATGTAATCCCGTATTTTTAATAGAAAAATAAAGGCTACCTGGTTTCATAAAAAAATAGTAATGGTTTATATACGTATGATTACCTTTCGGTACCATGTATATTATTTCCATCCGAAAGAACAACAAATTTGCTTCAGGAACGGGTTCTGTTCTAACATTCCGTTACACTATAGTCACCTTTATATTCAGCTTGGCGAAGTTTATGGTATGCTTCATTGTTTCTGAGTTCTTTTTGAGCTTTTTCTTCTTCGCTTGGAATGTTACAATATGATATGCCATTAATTGGAATGCTTTTTCTTCTCTCGCCGGTTTTCTTTGAAATGCTTCCAATTAACTCGGCGATATTAGATGCCCACCGGAACATTCTCATTTCCTCAGGTTTCTTTTTGTCAGTTTGACATTGCTGCTCTATTTAGAATTTTCCACTTGGTCTAGCATAATAGCACGCCAGGTATCAATATCTCTGGAAGCTGTTTTGAGGGGTGTTGCATGTGAAATTTGATTTTATGTTTGAGTTTAATGAAAATAATTGGATTTTTTTCTACCAAACGATGGTAAAAATGGAGTGCATCCTTTTGACCCATCTGTGCCTCTTACTGTTATATTAATGGAGTCAGAAATGGTATATAGGCAATTCAATGTGCTCATTTGGCGACTGCTGGGATAACTAGGGAGCCATGTTGACTAGGTGGTAATCCGAAGTAAGGATTTTAATGCGGAGTCTGGAAGAGAGATTTTACGTTGTATGATTTTATTAAGGAGAGAATTACAGTAGAACGAAAGTAGTGCCCCTGGAAAGTCAACCGACGTGGGTCTGGTGTAAGACCGAAACTATCATTAGGGTGATACGACAAGGCAACACATTCCATCGAGAGCAACACGTATTTTTCTGCTATCTTGTTCAGATATTTAAATATCCCATTAGTCAACCATGTGGTTATTGAATGAGAAGGGGAAAAACGAGACAGTTGAGCTGGTGTGGAGAAGAAGGATCTTTTCCATACCAGTCGAGCCACATCACCCTTAACATTTCTTATAGGTGAAACACAGTCTACTAATAAACCACCGTTGACCTTGCAAATTTGTCATTATCATGTGCAGAGCATGTGATTGATGATTACTCTCATGCCATCTCTGTTTTTTTTTTCTCATTGATTTCGATGGAATCCTCACCCTCCTCACCCCTTTCTTTTTTTTTTTTTTTGATGTGTTTATTGCCAGATCCTCATATCCGAAGCCAGAGTAATTCGTTTGGGACCAAAGTTCATGTCCATCTACATTCAGAAGCTCGCAGTAAGAGTCATCTCCCGAGAGAAATTCTCTTCATCACCATCTTCTCCTCTCAACCTCCTCCTCCTCCTGCTGCTGGCTTACAGATCGAGCGGAGGATATCTTACGGCGACGTGGACGGCCTCGGAGTCGAGTGGCTCGAGAACACATCCACACTGGTTCTGCACCTCCACACAAGCAGGCGTCACCAGAGGAGGCCGTCCGCCGGGAAGCTCGAGGTCCTCAAGGAGGTGGCTCTGATCACAGATCCTTCAGGCCCCATCTCAGAGCCTGAGGAGAGAGAAGTTCTTCCGGCCGTCTTCCCCCTCACGCTCCAGCCTCTCTCTACCATCCCGGTGGTTCTCCATGCAGTCGGAGGGGACGGCAGGCGCCCTGAGATAGGGGTGAGGCTGTACTTGACCTCATACTTTGGTTACTAGCTATCAGATATCCTCAGCTGGGAGAAGAATGGAGCTGGAGCTGCTTGAGGTCGCTGTTGTTGTATAGCTGATCTTCCTGACTAACTGCTGGTTGCGAAGGTTTTGCCGCAGGTTTTTTTTCTTGCCAGGCACACACAATCTTCTTCTCAGGCTGATACTGCAGCCCTCTGGGAGATCAAGTGGCTTCACTTTTACCAAGCTGCTTGACAGGAGGAGGAACTTTTCTCTCTCTCTCTCTCTCTCTCCCTTAATGGGCAGCGATGGGTTGAAGCCATGTGAGTTTCTTTTTCACTGCAGTGTATTTCGTCAAGAATAAGTTGGAAAATTCTGATGGAAATGAAATATCTATTCCATTTGCGACGTACTTGGTGATTTTTTTCCATTGAAATAAATGAACAATGATGCCCCCCCTTGCTTCATCCGTCGTGCCCACATAATTTCTGGGGTTCGATGAATATACAAAAATTCTCTATTTTTATTATAAATGGGATTTAATACTCGAGAGGGCGAACGATCAGCTCTAACCACGCCATTCGCTTCTCATCATATGCATAGCTAGCATGAATTTCTAGGATTAGACTTAGACCAGAGTCTCACTCATATGGGCCCCACCCTCCACCTCAGAGTTGTAAGAATCGAGTCGCGCTGACTTTCTCAGATTCTTGTTACATATAAGGGAGAAGCAGCTGAGAAGACATGCTGACCTTGTTAATAAGATATTGCATATCTTGTTAAGACATTATAGGCAAGATATAATATGGGTATCATTCATGGATGTATGACATCTGCGCGCCGCCCAAGCCACAGCGGGGGGCCCCTCCCGAAGGGCGCGGAAATGGAGCGGAGGGAGGGGCTTCCTCGGAGAGGATGAGGGGGATGCAAAAAATAGTAAGAGAGCAACCAAACAACGACTCTAAAAAGCCTGTTCCAGAGAGAGAGAGAGAGAGAGATGGAGATGGAGGAGAAGGTGCTGGATCACCTGATAGAGAGGTTGGTGGAGGGTAAGAAGAGCAGGGACGCCGGGAAGAGGGTCGCCCTCGAGGAAGCCGAGATCCGGCGGCTCTGCGTCGCAGCCAAGGAGGTGTTCCTCAGCCAGCCTAACCTCCTCGAGCTCGAGGCCCCCATCAACATTTGTGGTAAATCAATCAAACAGTCAATCGACTTGCAGAGGAAAGAAGGGGGCCTCTTCCTGTGAAGGTTTCCTCACCCGGGTCGTCCTCTTCCTCTACATTTGATCGATATAATCTGGTGGATCGATCTTGTTCTGATCCAGGGGACATCCATGGCCAATTCTGCGACCTGCTGAGGCTGTTCGAGTACGGAGGGGGGCCGCCAGGGGCCAGGTATCTCTTCCTGGGGGACTACGTCGACAGGGGGAAGCAGAGCATCGAGACCATCTGCCTTTTGCTGGCCTACAAGGTGAGGTACCAAGGGAGCTTCTTCCTCCTCCGGGGGAACCACGAATGCGCCTCCATCAACAGGATCTATGGCTTCTACGACGAGTGCAAGCGGCGGTTCAGCGTGCGCCTGTGGAAGGCCTTCACCGATTGCTTCAACTGCTTGCCGGTGGCGGCGATTATCGACGGGAAGATCTTCTGCACCCACGGGGGGCTCTCGCCGGAGCTGGAGATGCTGGACCAGATTAAGGAGATGGAGAGGCCCGCGGAGGTGCCCGACCAGGGGCTCCTCTGCGACCTCCTCTGGTCGGACCCTGATAGGGAGATCAGGGGCTGGGGGGAGAACGACAGGGGAGTTTCCTTCACCTTTGGGCCCGACAGGGTGACCGAGTTCTTGAAGAAGCACGACCTCGATCTGGTCTGTAGGGCTCACCAGGTAAAGCTCGCTCTGGTCTGGTCTGGTCTGGTCTGGTCTGGTCTGGTCCTCCATTGACGCCGCCGGTGATGACCGGAAAGGGAGCAGGTGGTGGAAGATGGGTACGAGTTCTTCGCCGACCGGCAGCTGGTGACCATCTTCTCCGCGCCCAACTACTGCGGCGAGTTCAACAACGCCGGAGCACTGATGAGCGTCGACGCGGGCCTCCTCTGCTCCTTCCAGATCCTCAAGCCCCACCACCGGGGGAAGGCGGCGGCGGCGCCGGTCGCGGACTGAGCGCCGCCTCCGACGATCCTTCTGTGCTCTGGGTTTTTGCCTCGAGGGAGACGCGGAGCCCTGTTGCCCCAAACTCGGCCATGTTCCCTCTCGCTGAATCTTCCTGGGTCATCACCTTCCTTTCTCCCCGGGTAGCACATTCATGGTTAATACCGTTTTAAGGAATCAAAAATTTTTAATTTTCGAGTTTGTGGGTCTACGGAAGACTGGAATCGGATCGACGGGCTCCAAGCGATTTGGTGAATCAGTAAACAAAGCCATGTTCTTGGATCGAGCAACGGAGATCAATTGGGTGGCGTTTGGGATGTGGTCCCCCGGCTCGACACGCACAGAATATCTTCTGCCGAGGATATATATTATTTTAAATCCACGAGTTCGAAAAAAGTAAGTTCAACTCTTGATAGTCAAAGTTGCCCCGCATCGTGTTGACCCGGGGCGGATGTTTGCCACGTGTGATGCTCTTTCGGAGGGCAAATACGTGGGGGAGGGGTAAAATTGTCGTTTGAAAAAATAGATTTTGACCCAAATCGCCCGCTGTTTCCTCGCGTTTTCCTTAAGAGAAAAGGCTGCTGCTCTGGTTCGTACTCCCTCTCCCTCTCCGTCTCCCTCTTCCCCCCTCGATGCTGTGCCCTCGGTAGCTTCTTGTGGCCACGTCGCCATAGTTCACCTCTCGAAGGCTTGATCCGAGTCCCCAGCCCCCCCCCCCCTGCAGCTTCTCCTCTTCTCAAGTGAGCTCCTCGGGGCTTCTGCGGGGACGAGCTTTGTACCCTCTCCGTGGTCTTACCTCCGTCGTGGTATCTTTTGGGCTGTGGAAGGTGCGGTAATAGCCCCTCGTGTGATTTGGTGATAGGTTGAGATTCAGATTCCAGGAACGAAAGGGCCCGTTCACTGTTCGCGCGAGGAATTAGCCCAATGGCGGTGACCAGGCGGTTTGGGGTCACTCCTCAACTAGGCAAGGAATTCGGGTTTTTAAGAGCTCTAGAACTGATGGTTTTTCGCCTTTCCGTTGGGAATTAGTGTTATAAGTTCGATGGTCTAACTATATGTCGATCACTCTGAGTATATTTCCGCTCGGTCTGTTGCGTATCGTGCGGCCCCTTTATGTTGTGGGGCTACGTAGTTGCCGTGGTACTTTGCTTAGGAACCATATTTTACTTTTTATTGTCAAACTTGTAGATTTTTGTAATCTTGAAAGCAAACAGGATCCTCGTGGTTGGAAGATTTTTTTTGGGGATTATTAATGGTTGATCTAGATCTTAACAAACTATATGTAACCTAATTTGACTCAATCACCACGCTTGATTTGGTAGACTCATTACCTTCTGTTTCTTTCTGTTGCTTTGAGTTTCTAGTCTTATGGCTCTTGGATTGGGAAATATAATGAATACACATCGCGATGTATTTAAATATGTGTAAGCTTATCTCAATATCGTTTCCCCTGAAAAATCTCTGTGAGCATGATTTGATTAGTTAATGTAAAAAATGTCACATTTTGGGAAAAAGTACAACTGGGATCTTCATATTTTCTTTCACTTGCCACGGAAAATCAATGAAAAAATTCTAAAATTTTCATGGAATCATTTTATTTATGCTGAACTGTTGTCCTATGTCTATCTTGGACATCTGATTAAGGGTGTGGTTTTTATGCCTACCAAAGACTTGGAGTGTGGCTTGGAACGTTCAAAGAAGAAGCATGCCATTTGGCAAGCACGTACTTTCATGGGAATTATGACGATTCGAATGAAATACCATGATAAACTGAGATGGGATAAGTGGGGTAGGATAGTAAAGGAAATGGGGCAATCAAAGAGAAATAACCACAAATGATGCCGATTAATTTAAGAAATATCTAAGATCCATAAGGAGAATATCATCTTGTATGAGTTTTCCTGAGAAGCATTCTAGAAGTACTCTCAATTAATCTTCCTATCCACTAAATAATTTCCGTTTCCTTCTTGAGCCCTAGTCAAAATACAGTTATTTTTTTTATTCCTCTGAAATCAAATCATGATCACGATGTTTCCTTTGCACTTCTGAGATACCAGCTGTGAGTGGAAGATAGTTATCAGGTGAGCGCCTTTTAATTCTCTTAAGAGAAAGAAGGGGCAGTCTGAGAAGTGCTTAATGGATGATTTTCTTTGGCACAATGTAGGCATGCAAATGCCCTTATATTCACCATCGGTAGTTTAAGTCCTTTGTTCCTCGCCATCAGTTAACTCCTAGGATTTTGCATAGAAACTACCTCCTATGAAACTCCAAACATAGCACATTCTAAGTTAGGACTTCGATTCTCTGTTTTGAGGTTGATCATAATGCGACTACAGCTTATGCATATTATCTTCTGGTCAACTCCAACTTTGTTCAGCACAGCAACGAGGTTTCCTTTTTGTTCTTCCTCCTAGTTTTTGAGATAAAATGCAAACTGTACCATGCCGTTTTAGCTCTTTTTGAGTACTTTATTCTTCTCGTCATTGTTATTAGTTCCTCCTCTGACCAGTGGGAAAGGTGTCCCATACCCTGGATGATCATGACGGACTCTAGTAGATATGACTTTCTTATCATGCCCACGACAGGACTGTGTAGTGTCGTCCCTCAATACTAAATGCTTTTTCTCGTCACTGTCATTATTAGCTGCCGATTTTTTTTCCATGGTTAATACTTGATACCTGCATTTTTTGAGTCATATTGTTGTGGCATGTGCTTCTGAAAGAAAGTACAATGATTTTGGCTATTGGCTTATATTGTCTCCTTTGTGGGGTCCAAATTTATACACTCTTCATCTAATTGATTTTTTGAACTATATTAGAGCTGCGTATGCTTGATGATTGAATGTCATGTATTGATGAACCTAATCTTTGCAAGGTTAAGATACTGAAGGCTGATGTTTGATTGAGGTATTATTCTAAATAGAAGACATACATGATCAGCCTGTCAAGACCAGCTCCATTCAATTGGCCTTCGCTGAACAACTCAGTTTCAGCATCACAGATCTTGTTTTCATGACAAAGAGTCATGGGACCAATTTTTTATTGGATTTTCTTTTCATTAGAGATCTAGCGTATACTATTGCATAGAACATACACGCAATGACGTATTCCTGATGTAGCGGAATATTGGTAACTGTGTTGGGATTGCTAGTGGATACTCATAGGTGATTGAAAAATATGGCGGGCTGTCTTACACGCAACCTCTTGGGCTCTTTAGAATGAGAAGAATTGTTGAATTTTTTGACAAGAACTAATCAACTATCTGCTGTTTTGATGGAATCGGTTGTCGTAACATCATCAACGGTACAAGGAACTAAAAACATATTCCACTTCATTGTCAACTCTTCTATGCTCTTGTATGCTAAATGATAGAGATTATCAAGTTATTGAAGGGGAAAAGTTCGTTTCATATGTCCTATAATTTAAAGAATCGTAAAGGAGTATAATGTAGAGATTGTAAACAGGTTCTGAAGCGTTATATCCGTTTATGCATTTGGTTTCTTGCTCTATTTAGCGTTATTCGTGAATATCTAGGAGTAACATATTGCATTTTTTGATTTAAATAGCGAGTTCTTGGAATTGGAAGCAGCAATCACACCCAATGTTCAGTAGAAAATAGGCAAACTGCTTAGCCTTCCAAAAAATTGAATTGAGACCGCCATTTGATGTTTATTACATGCATGCACTTCCATACTCTCATTTGTGCTTTTTTTTTTCTTTTCCGCAGATTTTTTGTTTTTTGGCTGAAAGAATTGCCAAATTGGATAGAAATCCTAAATTGCCATCTGTGATTTTTTCTCGTTTATTTTTTGAGAATCTGACTCTTTCAGTGATCATAAACAGATATCGAGCAGATACTAGTAGAAGCTCAACATCGATGGTTACGGCCAGCTGAAATTTGTGAAATTCTTCGAAATTATAGAAATTTTCGCATCGCCCCGGAGCCTCCAAACAGACCTCACAGTACGACTCCAATTTGTTTTCTTGTATAACATTTGAAGATCAATAACCTGTCTTTCCTTCAATTTTAAATCTTGAACTCTTTGAGGTAAGCTTATTGTGTCCAATTGCTTGTGTTGTACGCTTATCCAAATGCATTCATGGGAATCCATTCTCTTCCTCTGAAAGTTAGTCTGGTGCACTGTTTAGATTTAGCCGTAAATCCTAATGTGGTGGAAAATTCTTTGACAGGATAATGATTTTTCACTTCGTGACCTTATACCTTATATCTTCTTTGGTTTTAGTGCCCGGAATCAAATGGTACATAAAATAGATAAATGATTTGACATTATATATGCAAGAAAATAGCTTTGATTAGTTAAACGATAGATTGTTTGAGGATACTCTATGATAAATTCATTATCTGCATTTTTACATGATTTGAAGCAGGAACATGTTGACGCTCTTGTGATTCCTGTATAAACTTTATTCGATTATCTGAGTGAGATTTCATATCCTCTTTTTTGAGGGATACGAACGTGATTTTCTTAGAATAGTTGTTTGTTTAGAATTTCTTACGATTTCCTTTCATCCATTCAAGAGAAGAAGTAATCCTACACCCTAATCAACTCCCCTTTTTTATTTGAGAAAACCTTGGATTTCTTTTTTGTACAAGGATCCTATCTCTTTAAAAAGCAAGGATCTCCACTTTGTCAGAGAGAGCTACAAATTTTGCTGATGCCTTTTGAACTTAGTTCGCTGAATTAGCTGATTTGGATCGGAATTGGGAGGAAGTTTGGTTGATCCAATCCAAGTTGATATTGCACACTGTTGGTGGCATCCAACAGTATTTGTATTTTTAATTCAATTCCAAGTTGATGTATTTTGGGCCTTTTGACAAAAGCAGTGATCCCTCCCTTTTTTGTTGTGCGGGAAGAGTAGATGAATAAACATTGTGCTACATGCTTATGTTGGATTTCTAGATCTCGTATTGTGGGGAGAATATTGTAATAGCCTGCAGTTATATTGGAAATATTGCATAGGGTTCTCACCCTATATAATGGGTGATAAATGGCAATGAAAGATGATATGGTTTTCCTCTGGGAGAGAGAAAAGTTCCTTGTCCATACCGTCCGTTTTCCTCTCTTTGTTTCGACAATTTAGATTATGGATGTCTTTTGATCTTTTATCTATTTGGTGGAAGCACATCTCGGTTCTTTTGTCCATCTTTTTTTATGTTGGTTGGGTTTTTATTTGTAATGGTGAATTAAAATGCTTGAGGGATAGAGATGGCAAACTAAATAGCGAAAAGAAGAAGCAGAAGAGGGCAAATCGAGGTTTCAAAGAGTAGAGATGGTAAACCAAACGTGTTGGCAGGACAATTACTTTTCTATCACGCCATCAACAACATTGCCCTCACAATGATCGGCTTCTCTCTTATTTATAAATTTATACATCCTAGATTGAGTCACTTCACTCCCTAAGGAGCTAGCTAGTTTGATCTGATTTACTGTCATCAGTTCAATAGTAGTGATTAATGTCCTATATACTGATTTATATTATTAAAATACACCAATATTGAATTAAACAATGGAATTTTGTTTGCTAAATATATATGCCTACCGTACTTACTATCAACATGGTTTCAAGTTCGATGATCCAATTCTTTTACTTGCTGTCAAAACTCCAGACTCTCTAAGGTTCCACACGCTATCTCTATTGTCTGTGTGCTAGATTCTTGAAAAAAGTGAGGGAGTGTGCTACAAAAGTCTCATGTTGAATGGGTGGACGAAATTCTGCAGTTGAAATATATGAGTAACTCCCTTTATTGCCAAACGTTTTTTGGTTGAATGATTTGTTAAGCATTAAGATAAATCTCACTAGTCATAAATGATTTTTCAAAAGATGACACTGACTAGACTCATATAACCAGTGCTACTAATTAGTGTTATGCTTTAAGGTGCCTATTTTCATTCCTCCCTCTTGATTCTCGATTTGCAAAATGATGTTCTGGAATAATACCCAAATAGCTCTGAATTTTTTGATCAAATGATTTTGTACGGCTTGCTTCTCCTGCAGTTTTCCTCTTGCTAATTCCTTGAAAATGTTTTGCCTTGGCTTTCCCAGCTTTTCATCTTTGTATTGTTCCTTGTACCTTGCTTTTTAACCAGATAATTTTTTTAATATGACATGCATAATATTCTCTCTGCACACAATAACCCAGAGAGAAAGATAGTGGATAAACCTGTGCGCTTTATTGCAATGTTGAATATTCTCGTCTCCTGTTCATCACATCAGAAGTGCTCATCGTATAACCTGACCTCAGATGCTTCATTTGTTCAGGTGGTTCACTTTTTCTTTTTGACCGGAAGGTACTAAGGTATTTTAGAAGGGATGGGCACAACTGGCGGAAAAAAAAGGATGGAAAGACAGTAAAGGAAGCTCATGAGAGGCTAAAAGTAAGGCCACTGTAAATGTAATATCATTTCGCTCTTTCTCGCGTGCCTTTATGAGGCATTCTTTTAGTGAAAATGTGGCTTATCGGGCATAAAAAAGGATAAGAGTCTGAGCGCAAATGACTTTTTTCCTTTTTTGTAATATCATTTGAGATTGTTTCTTCCCTAACAGAACTCAGCTATGCACCACTGGGTATGTGTCTTAGCGCAAATGGCTTTTAGTAATATCATTTGAGATTGTTTCTTCCCTAACATAACTCAGCTATGCACCACTGGGCATGTGTCAAGTACATGCCTTGATGCAGGCTATTTACCTGCATGTTGGTTTGCTTATTTGGCTGATGTGGGAAATATTTCATGTTTGACGGATTAGAGTCTTCGACTATGGAACTTTCAAGTTTTTTCTTTTTGGGCATGTGCTTTTACTATCCCTTTTAGGCTTCGTTTATTTATGTCCTATTTTAACAGTCTTAGATTGACGAAAAGTATTATTTGTAGGTTGGAAGTGTTGATGTATTACACTGCTACTATGCTCATGGTGAAGAGAGTGAAAATTTTCAGAGACGGAGCTATTGGTTATTAGAAGAGTAAGATGATGTTCTCATTTTCTAGAATATTACTCTAATTGTAAACCTATCAATCAACATTATCTTGAGAATCTGGTGTAATGTTTAAATGAATAATAATAGGTAAGTTGACTGCCACTGGATCATATTGGAAACTAAAAGGTGAAAAAACCAAGTCGGATTATACCTACTGGGTTGGGAGCTGCCTTGATTTAGCTGTGATATGTGCTAGCATTTATGTGTACATGAAACACTTTCTGAAATAATTCATTCCCTTTATAACCTTTAACTACTGACTTGGCCGATCATGACTCAGCAAGTTGCGAACTGTAGCAGGGTTGATTATCTGCATGCAATTTTCCGGCTATGCTTATGGATAGTCTTTACGCTGTGTTCGGTTTATGTGAGGAGGAAGGGGAATCGTTAGGGTATGTTCCTTGGGTGTTCAATTTCTCAACATACAATTGGTATACAAGGAGATTTGGTGGATTTTACAGTACAGTAGGTTTGCAGCTGCACACATTAGGACGTCCTGCCATAGAACATTAGGTCTATACTTTAGGGTACAAAAAAAACCCTACAGACAAGGAGTTTTCTGTCATAAAAAACGTTTTTTCTTAGTCCAATAATCCAGAGAGTTGCATATAAGATATGCCACGCTGAATTCTTTTCTCAGTCAGAGCTAATTCCACATTAATCATTACTCATCTTGCTGGTTTAGGTGCTGCCATCGTATACCTACATTCACCCCATCTCTTTGGAGAATGAATATGCAAGGAAAAAATACTCTGTAAATTGAACTCCACATTGCCAGATACTGTTTCGAGTTTCCCTTCCTTTGGAGTATTGAATGAATTTATAATATCTATCCTATCATTTCTTTCGTTGTATCCAGTACTCTTTACATATTTCCAAGGACCATGTCTATTACCGATATCTAAACATTGTGAACGCGCCATATGGGGTGAGTTTTGAAGTAGATATCATCAAAATGAGATATATACATCAAAGTTGCTACTAGGGAATTTTTGGAACTGCTTTTGGTTCATTTGTGTGATAAAAGGATACTTATCATCTTTTTTATCTCATTCATTTTTTGTTATTGGTACAGGGATTTTATGCACATTGTTCTGGTTCACTATCGTGAAGTTCAGGTCATGCGTTTTCGCACTGAAGCAACTATTTTTGGTTATCTGGGATATATATCGATATTCTTGTCCAGTCTTTTTTATACAACTCTATTTTGATCATGATTTATGATTTACTCTATGAAGTCGTCCAAAATTTCTGTTCTGAATGTGGGCTAGATATCAATTATCTCCTTACTAGGTGAATATATCTTGTGCTTCTGGTAGCTCGAGGAGAGTAGATTCTTACCTTGATTGGCACTCAGCTGTTTAGGATTTTTGTTACCGTCACTTGCAATTATGAACTGAAGGGTCATTGATAATGGTTTTCATCAAGAGAGAACTGGGTTAGAAAAACCTGAGTTTCAAATAGTGCTATGGTCATACAGAAAATAATAAAAATGGTTGTGTCAAGAGAAGAATTATATTTTAAAATCCTATCTTGATCAGATTGGTGAAAATACCTTTGTTGATGTAATTGGGGTACGGACTTCAATTAAAGTATGCCCCTTTATGGGCTCTCATTGTAACATCTCTGGTTCTGAATCCTATTCAAATCTATCTGTATGTCTAGTGGGTTGAAAGACCGTTTTGCTTCTGGCGATCACAGATATTGTGAGTTTCGTATGATCTGAAGTTATGTTTAAATCTAGGCAATCCAATGTTCTGAGAGTATCAACTGTCACCTGGGTGCACATACCATCCGATTCCAATTTTTGGTGGACGATTCTGATCAACATTATGAGTCGGTCTAGTGCGAATCTGATGTCTCAGTGTAACTTGAAAAAGAAAAGGGATTTTCAGAAGGGTGGACTGAGCTAACTTGGATTGTCTCTCTAGGAATATGTTATCACTCTTTTAGCAGAAAGAAGAAGTGGGAGGAGGAAGTTGCTGTAAGGACAGTGAAAAGAAAAAAAAAAAAAAAAAACACAGGGTCTTAGTATTGTGCTGGGTTCAGTTCGGCTAATGAAGGTTCTGTACTTCGAAATTATCTTTTAGTTATGCTCTTTTATAATAAGTTTTTTATTATTATTAACATTTGAAGTGTAGTAACATTTGTTGTTACTTTTCTTGGATTGCCCTTTTCCCAGAGCCTACCAATTTGGTCGACCTGATCATGATCGGGATCAAATTGGATCTTCCCAATCTGTTAGCCTAATCTTGTTTCCAGAACAGTCATTGATTTGGCGCGTCCAATTAGAATTTGATTCCACCAGCCTTTTCTCCCAGCATTCACCCCTTGTGATTTCCCTGAGTTTTACCCTGTTGTGCAAATTTTAATTTTCATTACATGGTGAATAAAGTGTCTATAACGAAACATAATATGATATACATTTTTAGTGACAAAGTACTTACAAAAGGATTATTGTGGATTACCTGCAGCCATGTCCGGCCACTGTGGCCTGTGTGGCCTTAGGATGTTGTGATGGTGGCTATGGAAGTCACCCGCTATGATGGTGGACATTGTGTTTTGAAAACTAGTTTCAAAATATGTTCATTACAAATGATTTATAATTTTTATAAAAGGTTTCTCTTACAAAGTATAACTATTGGAGATTTAGTGTTATGAGTTTACTTTGGATACTCTATGAATAATACCAAGTTGCTAGTGTTTGCAAAAGTTTTGTCCATGAAGAGGCTTAATTGGCGAAAAGTCATGTCTTCACTGTCCACTTTTCAACTTTTCTTGTTCAAATGACCAGCTCTTGAGTTCGTTGAATTCATCCATCTTTTGTATCTTAAATACTTTATGCAGTTACTGCATTGTGGATGTTTTACATGATACATTCGTTCATTAGTTGACACAAATTTTCTGCTTACAGGGTGGTAAAGCCAGCTTTGGTCGCAATAGAGACAGTGATGAAAGCTCACAGAGTGCTTTAATGGAAACTCCTGTTTCTTCTAATTCCTTATCGAATCCTAACCAAATGCGCTCACAAATCACAGATGTTGAGAGCCTAGGCAGTGCGCACGCGTCTGAATTTGAGGATGCTGAGTCTGGTATGTAATTTACTCTCTCTTTACCACTATGCTTCGCATCATCTTAGCAGAACAACGACATAAAACATAATAAATTACTCATTAAAAAAATGTCTGCACTGAAGATAGATTTTACTGATTCATATTTCCGATTATGCACCTTTCTTTCAGTGTATCTAAAGCGAAATTCGATGCAGCAGATAATTATCAAGCAAGCTCCAGATACCACCCTTACACTGAGTCTCAAGAGTCAGAGAAGCCTGTGATAGATGCTTCCATCCTGAATCCGTATTTTCCGGTTCCTTATTCAAATACCGAAGGTGGCGAGTATTTTTTTCTTCAAATTATTTGTATTTCATTTTACTCCCTTGCGTGGTAAATCAGATTTAATTTGATAGGTCTTCTTTATTTATCCTGCTGCAGGTTGCTACCCTGGAGCCTCATCTGGATCTAATTATTTACCAGTTACTCCAGAGGGAATGACTAGGGTTTTCAATGGACTGGGATCTGGGTTTGGCTCTCAAACACCAGATGACTTATCATCGTGGGATAAGGTCTTGGAACATTGCACGACAGCATTTCCTACTGTCTCATTCCCAGCAACAACAACGACATTTACAGAACCTTATCACGTGGAAGGGAGTGTTGACCGTGAACCTTCAAGGCTTGGGGAAACCGCCGTATATGCAGATGATCTAAATAAAGACGTTATTGGCTCTTCTAAGTTTGATGAAAACTGTCAGGTAACCTATCATCAATTTGAAAATAATTTGTAAATCTTGGGCTGCTGAGATGTATTAGCTGTGAAAACTCAGAAAGCCACCATGACAATTGCCAATAAATCGTTGACCAACTTATCCAATCGTTAGGATCATGCCAGATGAAAATTACCTTACGGGCAAGGTTGCTGGATTGAACGAGTGCTATTTAAGGATGCAATGAAAGATAGCGCTTGGCAGATAATATCAAAGAGTTACCATTAGTGTAGTTTTTTGGTTCCCTTGTGCACTATGGTCATGGTTAGCACCTAGAAATGATGGGAAACTATAATCTACTGCTGCATGTTGCACTGAAAATCCCGTTATCTCTGAGCAATCTGTCTAGCATGTCTTGGTCTGCGTTTTGGGGAGTGGCATTAAGTAACATCTAGAAATTCTTGGTTTTTAGGAGGCCTTGTTTTCAGCTAGTCGTTTTGGTAAAACCCCTATGCACTGATATTTAAAATATCTGAGGATGTGATTCATTGGTCAGCATTTACCATTATTCATTATGTTAAAGTTTTATTCAGTGAATTTGGTGCTCTAATGCTAGATTTGATGTCTAAGTTATTTGTAACCATTGTCATGTTTCATTGTTTCGCATGTCACATAATTTAGTTACATCCTTATTCTTTTAACTACTGGATTTGAAGAATATAGCACTCAACTTATCAGATAGTATCATCTAAAAAGTGAATCTCACTTAAACTCTCTCGCAGGTGCCTAGTTATGAAGCGAGCTCTGTTTTGAAATCGAATGTGGATGCAAAAAGTGCTCCATCTAAAGCAGGATGCGGCAAGTACTCCCTTCTAAAGCAGTTGTCAATGGAAATCTCCAGTAGTGAAAATGATGGTGGCTTAAGGAAATGTGATAGCTTCTGTCGATGGATGAGCAAAGAACTAGGAGAAGTAGATGACTCGCAAATGCAAATGAACTCCGCCCACTACTGGAGCCCGGTTGAAGGTGAAAACGCGGTTGAGGACTCTGGGATGCCACACAGTGACGACATGTACTTGTTAAGCCCCTCGCTTTCCCAAGATCAGCTTTTCAGCATTATTGATTTTTCACCCCATTGGGGTTATGCAGGCTTAGAAACCAAGGTATTCATGATTTTAGCACTTCACATCACTCTCTATCTGAAGGCGTTTTAAGACACCAATTGAAACTGGCATCTTATCATTTGATTTTAATGGGCGTTGACATCCTTAAACATGATTAGTTCTGACGAAAATTTTATTTTATTTCTGATTATATAACAGATTCTAGTTACGGGCTCATTCTTGACGGACAAAATTGATGTGGACAAGTGTAAATGGTCGTGTATGTTTGGGGAAGTGGAAGTTCCTGCTCAAATTGTAGCAGATGGCGTTCTTCGTTGCCATGCTCCACTACATAAACCTGGAAGGGTCCATTTCTATGTGACTTGTTCTAACAGGTTAGCTTGTAGCGAAATCCGGGAATTTGAATATCGTGTCAGCTGCCCTCAATATATGGAGATTTCAGATTCTTATGGGGGCTCTGCAAGTGATTATCAACTTCATATTCGCCTTGAAAAGCTTTTATCTATTGAATTTGATGATATTCAAAAGTCTGTTTCTGGTTTAAGTGGTGCGAAACTTCATTTAAGCAGTAAAGTTAGCTCGCTGCTTAGAGAAAATGATGACGATTGGTCCAGCATATTAAATCCTCCAAGCAATAAGGAGTTTCATTCTGGCAAAGCAAGCGATCAATTCCTCGAGAAGCTACTGAAACCGAAGTTGCGTGCATGGCTTCTCTACAAAATAGCTGATGAAGGAAAGGGTCCAAATGTTTTAGATGAAGAGGGACAGGGCGTGCTTCATTTGGCTTCTGCTCTTGGCTATGATTGGGCTATAGCGCCAACTGTGGCTGCTGGTGTGAGTATCGACTTTCGTGATGTGCATGGGTGGACTGCTCTACACTGGGCAGCATCTTGTGGCAGGTAAGAGCTTTTGGGATGCATATCTTTCAGTTGTGGCACATCTCATATCTTAATGATCTAAAGACAATTTTGGGTTTGATTTGGCCCTTGTAATTTCAGGGAAAGGACGGTTGTTTCTCTTTTTACTTTGGATGCAGCCCCTGGTGCATTAACTGATCCGACTCCAAAGTTTCCAAGTGGAAGAACACCTGCTGATCTGGCTTCTGTCAATGGACACAAAGGGATCGCTGGTTTTCTTGCTGAATCTTCTTTGACCAAACATCTTTCGATCCTCACTTTGAAGGATATGGGCACCAGCAGTGTCACGGAGGCATCCAGCTTGGAAGCTTTTGAAGATGTTGCAAGGACCGCCGCACAGACTATCGATAGGAATATGCAGGCTGGATTGAGTGCCATCCGTAAAGCTGCCCAGGCTCATGCCCGCATTCACCAAGCTTTCAGGATCGATTCATTCCATAGGAAGAAGCTTTCGGAGCTTGCTGATGACAAGTTCGGAATGTCAGACGAGGATGCTCTTTCACATGTATCTATTAAGACAAACAAATCTGGTCCGAGTGATGAGCCTGTGGCTGCTGCAATAAGAATTCAGAACAAGTTTCGAGGCTGGAAGGGTAGAAAAGAGTTCTTGATAACCCGTCAACGGATAATTAAGATACAGGTACACATTCCTATCTTGACATTTTCTGAATTGCACACACACACACACACAACACACACATGTTTATCCTGGAAATCCTTTGAGGTTATCTGTCATTTCTGGGTTTCATACCTGTCTACAACTTTCTCTCGAAAGCTGTGGATGTCAACAATCAGGCCTATTTTTATTTTTATTTTTACTGAGAATGCACAGAAACCTGTTCAAAGTTAGACATTTGTTTTCTTTCACGGAGATATAACCAGGGTGAGGCATTTAATTTATTTTTTTTGTAAAAATTATCTTCACCGAAAAGCAGCTGAAAGTAGTATTTATGCGACGTCAGCTAATTTAGAAACCAATATAATGCCAATTTGGAAGCTGGAGCTTTCCCTTAAAAGATTAGCAAAGATTACTTCTTCAAAATCGCAGCACTCACCCTATGAAATGCCTTGCAAAAAGCATACCTTATGTGGATGAAAGCTCATTGTGAGCGATGAAAGAACCAGTTCTTAGCTTGCGGATTTGACTCCAAAACATGAGTGAACATCGTGGGAATTATCAAGGGAAGAATTTCTTTACTGTTAGGAGGTCCCAGGCTATCTGCTGGTGGAGGCGAGGCTGAAGACCAGGCAAACACCGAATAAGCGGTTTAAACTCGAAACTTGATCTTCAACTGAATGCCAAAAATGCCGTGATTTCCAGAAATAGGCAGATGTATGCTCCTGGGTAGAGGATCTATGGATTGTTGATTTGCAGACCTTGAACTTCGACTGAATGCCAAGAGTGCTGTGATTTCTAGAAAGAAGCAAAAGCATGCTCCCGGGTAGAAAAAATCTATTGGTATTGATTTCGGATAAGTGACATATCGAAAGAGGCAGAAGGTGAGACCATTGAATGTTCTTGACTGCCTGTGACCCATGTGAGATGTGTGAAGCAGACGATCCTTGAGGGCCTGAGAACAAGGTGTACTGAGAAAGTTTAGATGAGCTCATGCGAAATGTAGTACGATCGAGTTTAGAGTATTGAATGCTGGAGTTCTCTGTCTATGAAGCTTCATTGTTGCTTAAAAGCTGTCATCCATGGCATCATGACCTAGTTTTCTGCTCTCTCATCTTGATATTCTGCAGAAGATGGATCTATCTTTATCCTTCTGGATGGACTTCCTAGGTTTTCGGTTCTTTGGTCATTTTGAGTACTGGTGGTACTGGACCACGAAATTATCTATTTTAAAGTTTCCAAAAGCACACAATTCTATCTTTTATAGTTTAAAATGTTTGTTGGATGTGTCAGTCGGATTATTATTACATTGTGAACATCGACCAGTAAGTTTGATGGTTCCCAGTATCTTAATGGAAAACTATGCTATGGATTCCATGTGGATGTTACTTGGAGTAAGAAAAAGGAGAAAATAGAAGGGTTTTACAAGGGTCTCTCCTTTTCTTGCTGCAAGGGATGAGACCCAATCGAATTTCTTTTTAACCCATAGAATTTCTAAATTTCTTCCTTTCTTTCAACCTTCGAACTCATGGCTTCCCTGTGGCTATGGCTAGGCCCATGTACGCGGTCATCTAGTGAGGAAGCATAATGCAAACGACATCCTCTGGTCAGTGGGAATCGTGGAGAAAATAATACTAAGATGGAGGCGAAAAGGAAGCGGCCTGAGAGGGTTCCGCTCGCAAGGATTGCCTGATGGCCCCGGCACACATGATCGAACAACCCAGCAGGATGACCACGATTTCCTGAAAGAAGGCAGAAGACAGACCGAAGCTAGGCTGGAGAAAGCCCTTGCCAGGGTGAAGTCCATGGTTCAGTACCCCGACGCAAGAGATCAATACCAAAGGCTGCTGACCGTCGCTGAAGAGTTTCAAGAGTCTAAGGTAAAGCCAGTTCATTGTCGCCCAATTTTTCCACTTTTTTTCTATCTTTATATGCATGAATTAAAAGCTACCGCATCAAGGTCTGAGTCACAATATTGGCTAGGCTCTGTATAATACCCCCTCATCAGTTGGAGGGGGGGGGGAAGCTACCTTCTCCGCTCATAGTCAGTTTTGATTTGAATGGCCCAATGATCTCACATAGTCCAGGAGGCCCAGATTTTGTAAAGAGTACCACATTGGTAGGGAGGGAGAAAAACAAATCCACAACTGATGGCATCGTTCAATCAATTAATTCTGAGTTCACCCTGCAGTACGTGGCAATAATTCATGAACTGTTAATGAATCCTCTGTTTCTTTCCATTGCAGGCGTTAATAGAGAAGGTTTTAAATGATCCCGGCGATGGCGAAGGTGACATGATGTTTGATGAGCTTCTCGGGGACGAGAACCTCTCATGACAACCCCCCCCTTCTCATGCCCATCTTTGTGGCCAGGTCTGTATGATGTTCATGTCCTTGTAAATTTCCCTCCACTAACCATCATGTTGAATGTTTAGAGACAGAGAGAGAGAGGGACTCATGGTGGTGAGCATGGTCTTTGATCTGATCTTATGGTAGCAATGAAGCCTGGTGCTGCTTTATGTACAAAAAGGAGAATTATGTACTAAGAATATCACTCTCTGAGCACTCTCTTACTCATCAGATGGTTTTTCTTTTTCTTCGGGTATGTTCCAATCTGCATGCTGCTCATGAGGTCCTGTGCAAAGTGTCTGATGGATTTCTTGCATTTATATTCAACATGAAACCAATATCTATGTCAGAGCATACACCTGAGTCATTATTTATAGTTGTCTAGACGCACATCTTCATCAAATTATTTGAATCGCATATATTCATAAAATCTTATGTTTACAACTCCTTCATTTCAAAACTCTATTTTCCTCAATGAGGTTCTTTTATTTATTTATTTTTAAAATGCTTGGGTGAGCAAGAAAAAAAAAGTTAAAATAAAAAAGACAATGGGATCAAATATGACGACTACTTCCCTGTTTCAGGGCTTGCTGGTCTCTTCGGATTTTCAATGCATGGAGCAACTATTGTTCATTTTCACAACTAATAATAGTAAGAAATCTCTGCCAGAGTCAGATATATTGTTCCATTTGTAGCTCAGGACTAAAATTCCCATGGAAATAGTTCAAAAAATTTGAGATGAACCTAGATAATCTTACAGCCAGGTAGATATTCAGGAGTTGGCTCGGGGGGGGGCAAGCTCCACTGAATGGGTGGTTTCAAGAACTGAGACACTTAATCCTTAATAATCAGTGACCATAGGAAACCAGACGCACTGCAGTTTGACTTACAGATTGCATGCTAGATCAGGCGAAACTCGGACTTTGGCATCCAGTTTCAAATCCCATTCGCATACTTTCACATTTTGCCAGTTGACTAGGACTCGACAAGCCACATTCTTCTTTCTATTCTTACCAGTAGTTTTGCTGAAGAAATCAGATCAATTTCATGGAGCTGGCCAACAGGTTAAATTTATTAAACAGGCAACATATGAATCATAACTTCTAAGAGGATTGATTTTGGAAAGAAATTGTATTCAGCTCCAAGCATGAGATTCATATGCCCGCAGTGTTGTCTTTCACATCCCCATGAATGCACATTTCTCCGCCCGATTCCAGAGCAATGGCATCTTTGACATTCTCCCAGGCTACCCCTACTCTTTGGGGTCATGAACTCTGTTGAGATACCCACATAGCAGACTCTTAGCAAAGCTTGAGGCATTAAAGAACCTTCTTCCCCGTTTTGGAGAAACCTCCTTTTAGGAGTAAGATTACAGTTTACTACTACACAATTCCAGGCACAATCAAGATTACAGTTTACTACTACACAATTCCAGGCACAATATACTTGAAACTAATCAAGGCATAATATAAAGATATCAAGAGTTGAGAAGAATAATTAGTCATTAATTCAGGCCAGCAAGATTCTTGAGGTAGGCTTTTATTCTATGATCACCACGATGATATCGCTGGATCTCTTGAAGGAATTTTTTCGTTTTGAATCAGCATAGGATCCTCTTCTTTTCTCGAATCTTACTAGAAAATCAGATGATTCTATACTTGGCTAGTTTCATGTACATAGTCCTCTTCCTTTTTGCTGGGCAAGAGCATTCTTCTAATCCACGCTGCAGTCTTCCAAAAAAAAAATTCAATTTTAAGATGGATGGTACAGTATATATACGCATTAAATATTCAAACTAAAGTTCTCCTTATCATCAGTCACCTGGTCTCTCTAGAAGCCCAAGTCACCTGGTCTCATAGCAAATTGTCATGATCCACTCTCACTCTCTCACATAAAATATGAATGCACACCTTCAATAAAATCATCAAAGATGTAATTATCAGGCGACCTAAAATCAAGACACCAGTCGAACCAAAGCAATTTTCACAAAGTACAATTTTATTGGAGCGAACTCCGATCTTAATACAAAATTTACACAACATGGTCGAACCCACAAGCTGGATGAAGATCTCTAGAGCACTAGGAGAGTTTCTGAGCACATCAGTCATTGGTGGATAAAACGTAAGCCAAACAATGATGGAGACGTAGATCTCCGAGAGAAAAAGAAGATAAAATCAGCCATGAGATCCAATGATCCAGACAAGAGCCCCGTACACTGAGAAAAATAAACCTTCAAACTGGTAGTAAATAACCGATGAAAAGCTCCATGGGTAAGGGTGTAGGAGTAGTCTGTGATTAACACTATCAGAAAACAAAGAAGCATGAAAACCAGCAATGAGGACTCCAAAGGCAGACAACATGAGCTTCAAGAACAGCGAACCAAAATAATTTTGGCGGGTTCACTAGAGAGTAGGTTCGAAAGACCTCGTAGCTGTAGAATTGAAGAGCCAGAAAATTATCTCGCAAGTTCATCAGAAATAGTATCATACTGATATAATCACTGCACTTGAAAAAAAGAGACCGAAATAGCAATATCTGAAGAAGACACCAGAATTATATCTATATGTATAAAAAGAACCAGAGCTATGAAAAACGTGATCAACCATCTCCACATACAGCAGTTCACAAAAGATGAAACCTCCATTAATCGTTGTAATCTTCTTCGTTATCTCAAGTACCCACATTAACGCCATATGATTCGCGGAACACGCTCCAAACTTCCGAAAGCACACGAGTCAGGAAGAGAGAGAGAGAGAGAGAGAAAAAAAAAGAGAACCGAATAGAGGAGACGGAGCCTCAACAACAGCATCCCCCTTCCCTCTTCACACCTCATCCTCATTGAGGAGCATGTTGGGAATGCCCTTGTCGATGGCGAATCGCCGACCTGTCTCGGGGCAGACGAGGGCACCCTTCTCGACGTGGAGCTCCAAGAGGGCGTGGTGGAACCGGCGGAGGAAGTCCTCGGAGGCGAGCATGGAGGGCTCCGCATCTTCAGGAAGATCAGCGACCGCATGCTCCTCGGGGAGCGATCGAGCCGCCCCGACGAACGCCTTCCAGTCGATCCGGGCAAATATGTGGCGCAGAAAGTCCGCGTTGAAATCGGCGGGCCGCTCCGCCACCACCTCCGCCTCTAGCCGCAGCGGGTACCCGTTGACCACCCCCTTCACGTTGCAAGCCAGCATGTTGTGGGTCAGCAGCCTCATCTTCCTCCCTCCGCAGAACCAGGCCTCTCCCTCCTCTCTGTTCCTCCAGGAAGAGGGAAGAGGGCGGGGTTTTGCGGGAATTTATATTGGGGGTTAAGGTTGGAAAGGGGGGGGGGTCCGGCGTGTGCGGAATCGCACGTGCGGATTATTTAGATTTTTATAAAAAAATCCATCGGGTCTAATACTATTTTAATTAAATAACAATAATAATATATTATGTACTCGTGGGCTGGACCTGAAGCCCAGGCCCAGTACACCCAATAATGGGCCTATATGGGCTTCCTTGTTTAGCCGGTGGTCCATCGGGGTAGACGGCGGCAGGCTAACGGCTGATCCGGCCGTCAGATCCGTTCAACAACCCCGTTGGAACGGAGGGAGACCCATCACACCCAGTCGGGAACTGTCGAGCTCTGGACAGATCGGCATTCCCTCTTCTGGACTTGTTTTTTTCCCTTCTTAGTAATGCCGAGGGAAGTTGACCTTGTGGAGCAGGTTGCCAACGAAGATTGACTATTCCCGCGGTGCCCAAATATTTTTTTTGGGTTGCCAACGAAGTTGACCCAGGATGAATTTTTTTTGGGTTCATCAGTCAACGACGGAGCCGAAGGTTGACTATTCCTGCCGTGCCCAAATAGGAGAAAAAGATTCAATTTTTCTTTGGGAGACGGTGTCTGCGACCATCTGGCTCTGCCGGGCAATAAAAAGGGTCGTCTTCAACCTCGAACTGAGCTGGTCGCCGAGGGGTCGGGAGCGGGAATTTGGGGAGGAACCCGCCACCAACCTGGTCGGCCCTCGCTGGGGTGGCATGGGGGACGCCTCGGGAACGGCGGCGACGGCGGCGGGGGACGGCGGCGCCGCCGCCGCACAGCTCCACCGCCCGCGGCGGCTGCTGGGGTTTGGGGCGGCCTGCGGGATGGCGCTGAGGGACGCCGTCGCCGCCGTCTTCTTCTTCGTGGTGATCACCGTCGTCCCCTTCTCCCTCGCCGCCGCCGGAACCCTCGCCGTCGTCGCGCTGGCGAAGGCCGCCCACCGGCTGCTTCGCGGCGGGCCCCCCGGCGGCGGCGGCCTGCCGGACAAGGAGATCGGGGCCATTCCCGTCTGTGTCTACGCGGCGGCGCCCCCGGGGGGCGGCGGCGGAGGGGAGAGGAGGGACAGGGACTGCGCCGTGTGCTTGGCGGACTTCGAGGAGGGGGAGCTGCTTCGCCGTCTGGGCTGTGGGCACTGCTACCACCGGGACTGCATCGGCCGGTGGCTCCGCCGGCGAGCCACCTGCCCCAAGTGCTCACGCTTGGTCTCCGTGGAGATGAAGACCGAGGAGGGGCTCCTCCGCCGGTGGGCGGGCAGATGGCGCCGCCGCCAGCCCAGGTCTCCGGCGGCAAATAATACCCTTCATGTCGTTGCTCAACCCCTTTACACAGCCATGAACTGAAGCTCGCTCCTCCCCTCTCCTTGCTCTCTCTCTCTCTCTCTCTCTCTCTCTCTCTCTCTCTCTCTCTTCTCAGAGAGTAGAACAGAAGGCGGCTCAACCGGGGAAATAAATTAGGAAAAAAAATATATATGGTGGGTTGTTTTCCGATTACATGCTCATAGAATGCTAATATTGCGGCTTCACCCTGCTCTGTCTGTCTGTAAACCGACTCTAGATTAATTTCCTAATTAATGGGCTCAATCATCAATGTTTTCTACAAAAATCATGGTTATGTGAAAGATTATGGGTACTTTTTATCCTCGTGCAATTTCGATCAAATTTATTTCCAGAATATTTCATCTGCTCCGATATCTACTACCCATTAAAATATTTTTTCCGCATTAAGTATAGCACATTTCTTTTTCTTTTCTTTTTCTTTACTCATCATTATTATATAGAGAATCTTGTGATCTAAACGCCGATCAGGTCGTGATTAATGCATGGAAAAATTCCTACTTTATCACAGATGAGCGGGTGTTTGATGTATAAGCCAGACTGATTGTTCAATGCGTCCTTGAATCTACCCAAAAAGGAAAAATCCGGAATCTGTTCCTTGTGATGATAATCCCAACAATCATCAAGTTAGCTCATCTGGAATTTCTTTTTTTATATCGATTATTACAGGTGTCTTGAATCTTCGTTTTCCCTACTTAGTATTTTTAATTTGCGCGGGTGATCATAATCTGATGACTTTTATTTTCTGGAAATTAAAATCTTTATTTTTCTCTCACCCTTTTGATAGTATGTTTACATGGATGACGAATATCAGAAATTTCAAGTGATTTTGAGAGAATCAGGCCTATGTCAACTTTACAATTAGACAATGGATCATCTTCTCTCTGTCTAGAACTCTCTCTCTCTCTCTCTCTTTCTCTCATCTTGGTTTTCTTCTTGTTTACATGGATGGCGAATATTAGAAATTTCAAGAGATTTTTTAGAGAATCAGGCCTATGTCAACTTTACAATTAGACAATGGGTCAGCGTCTCTCTCTCTCTAGAACTCTCTCTCTCTTTCTCTCATCTTGGTTTTCTTCTTCACGGAGGAGGCTCTGTGAAAACCCTTGGGCACAAAACTTGAGAGGCAGAAGCTCAGAATCGTCCTCATCTTACACGTATATCTGATGGTGTGAGGGAAGGAATGGAGATTTCTGGCCATGAGTTTCCTCTCTCTCTCTCTCTCTCACTCTCTAACTTTCTCTCTCTTTCTCTCATCTGGGCTTTCTTCTCCATGGAGGAGGAGGCACTGTGAAAACCCTTGTGCATAAAACTTGAGAGGCAGAAGCTCAGAATTGTCCTCATCTTGCACATATATCTGATGGGGTATGGGGGAAGGAATGGCGACTTCAGGCCATGAGTAGTCTCCTCAGTCTCCTCTCTGCTGCTAAAGCGGCCTTGTTCTGGGGTTCCAGAACAAGGGCGTGCTTAAAATCTGCAAATATCAACAACAACATAAAGGCAGAACAGAGCATTTTAGAAGAAGGCCGCTGACCCTGATGCACCAAAGAAAGAAACAAATTGGGCAGCCATGGATGGAGACGAAGCAGGGCACTTCTTGATGAGGCCTTCCTCTCTCATCCGGTTCTTTCTAAATGCAGAAAAGAGAGAGAGAGACAGAGAGACAGAGACAGAGACAGAGATTCTTCCCATGCAACATGGCTTGTTCCACATTTATTTAACCCCAAGAGGAGAGGATCCAATGGAGATCATTAGCAGAGTCCAAAAATAGTTAGATTTCTCTCCTTTTTCGCCGCAATAAATCAAATTTTTTAGAGGATCGCAGCGTCAAACCCAGTGAAGCTCACTTATCCACTACAGATTAGGAAACCTTTTCACTAAGATAGTTCTAAGAACATGACAAGAACTAGGAGGTTGAAATGAAGTGCACGAAACTATTGGGCAAAGTACTCCTGATGAACCTGGTGAGCAGCATCTTCATCCGGCTCGTACCTTACCGATCATGTTTTTACTCACGATGAGAGGGATCAAATGCATTGAAGAAGAATTCTAAGGAACGTTCAACAGATTCAGAGTTATTCGTTTTTTTATAAAAAAAATTTACCTTGAGCAGCTTCTTTGTAAGAAAGTAGCAGTTCCCTTGCAGTTCCACGCCTCAAATATGCTTTAACATTCTGAACATAGAATATAAATGAGACATAGGAAAAGAGGGTAATGTGGTTGCAAGAATAGCGAATGCGTGTTATACAAATGGAATGACGTAATAAATTCATCAAATCAATCATTATTGCACGTAGTCTACTAGAGGGTGTTATGATCTTCATATCATAGACGATGACCAGTCTTCTTCTGCTATGAATTGTAACCTTACTTATCATAGCTGAGATATCTCATGAACCTAGGAGCAGTTTTCAGTGTAGACTTGCAGTAGATCAAGAGAGAAACCAACGGAAACAGTTGATAGCAATATTGATAGTGGGGGGTTAGATAAATTAAACCTGCATTTGAGCCTTTTCTTATGGCACCTGCTTGCACAAAGTTTGTCTGAGATTATATAAGAGGCGAAACTAACTTAGACAACAAACTCCAGAGACAGCATATCTTAATTTTCTGCTTATATGTACCTTGTGTTACCCGCAATCTATTACTTCTCCATTCTCGTTTCCAGGAAAGGTACATCATAACATAAAGACACAGGTAGTATTATTATTATTATTATTATTATTATTATTATTATTATTATTATTAAGGGTGGATTGGTTGAAGGACTGTTCATGATGATCTTAAGTCTACTGATTTAGCAGCATCGTCCTGCTGTACAGAAAGAGAAATTCCTCTTAACCGCTCTGAGATGCTCAGGAATTCTCTTAAATGATCGATCCGAATATCCATGTCCGGCTTTCTTAGTGGGGAGAGTTCTCAAGTTCATTCCTTCATAGTCAAGTCAGATGATACGCCTCGGCTCATAGATACTTCAGATGTCCAACTTTATATCAAAACCTCTCTCTAAATCCTTGATGGAAGCGACTACCACTCTCCCAAGTGCTGTGGAAACTCGTGCAGACGTGGACACAGGTGTAGTTGGATTCAGCTTATAAGGAGTATAAGAAAGAACTATCTCATTTATATAGAATGTAATCTTAGGAAAAACTTGACTGTTGTGTAGCACAGAAAGTAAAATGTAAGCAGTAACGAAAGATAAAGTGAAGAAGAAAGAAGATATCCGTTCACAAATATTCGAGTAGGCAAGTACTCACCTTCTTATCCAGTAAAATTGCGTGACTGCAGTCGGCTTCGGCCTGCTGAAAGCTGTAAAGATATGACAAGAGTTATGTGAATATATAGGAGAAGGCACACGAACCAATGTTAATTATGTTAAAATAAAGTTTCATACCATCCCAGTTCCAAATATGCTGCTGCCCTGTTGCAGTAATAAGTTGCACAAGTATTATTCAACTTGATGGCTTCAGAGTAGTAACTGGCGGCCTTATTCCATTGCTTTCCCTTGAATGCGGCATTTCCCTGGAGAAGTATTGGGAGATGTTGTGAAGCTTGCAATTGTATATATAAATACCCCAATCAATGAGATGAAATAAGCAATATTCTCACATTCATGTGTAGGCGAAGTTTGAAGATTATTTCAGGTAGCGAAAAGCACTTAATGTTCAATGATTGATGCCCCATATGAAGAACAAAAAATAAAAAACCTTTTCTTTGAGTAGCTCCGATGCCTCCATGTCCCCATTTACATCTGATGCTGGCTGTAGTGTTGAAGCTATCATAGCCTGCTCTTGGAGAGAAGAATACATGTCCAAAACAGTGTCTAAAAGAAATTTGTCCGCTCCGTGTGTTGCTACGAATGAAAAAGAGACAGGCCTGCCATCATGTTTGCCCAGTGGTATGGAAACCTGTCGACGAATAAATAAATAAATAAATAAGTAAAAAAGTTAATGCAGCAAGAAATCCACATTGTCAAAAAGGAAAAGCAACCAATAACTCAGGAACTGATCCACAAGCTGCATACCTGACAACAGCCGGACATTCCTGCAATACTCAACATTGTGAATGCTCGGTCCTCGAAATCAAGGGATAATTTCTTCTTAGAGTTAACTCGTAACATAATATCTGGTACAGTAGGAATAACTAAAACTCCATCCTGTGTAAACCAATAGCCAATATATCAACTCAGAAAGACTTGGAAAAAAAATAAAATAGCACCAGGGAATAAGCATTCAATAACCATATAATCAGACTAAGAGATAACATTGTTTTCACTGGAATATAAACATTTCTCACAATAATATGTACCCATGCTTGTGGGACTAATGACCAAGCATCGTTACATTAATCTGAAAATTATTGGACAAAATAAAATTAAATCCACAATTTCTAAGAGGTACTGGGCATCAATTGTAATGTTCACCGACAAATGCAGCTATATTCGTTCAATATCCAAGGGAAGTTAAGAAAATTGATGGTGATAGGTTTTTGCCAGAGAAAGGAGGCTATTCATCGTAGGCTCCAAAACTGCCATAACTACGATTTAAAGACATAAAGGCCAGCCCTATTGTTTGATCCCTAGGATAAAAATGATTCCAGTTTATACTACTTTAAAACCTACCTGAAATATTCTTGAGATGACAGGATTAATCCTGATCCCCTATCCATTTAAATCCTTGAACGATTCACAATTAGGTAATAATTTCACAATGTTGCTGTTTATAAACCTTCAACTAACCGTTTTTCACTTCATGAGATATACAAGTCACTAATGGTGACATAAAAAGAGTCTTTATCGTGTATCATGGATGGAAACAGAAATGAAGATTGTACAGACAAATAGAAGAAACCCACCTGTATAAAGTATTTGCATTTCACTTTGGGCATGTTTCTTTTGTCAGGATTGTTTTATACCGCTTGCTACCAAAAAACAAAGTTCCTCTTTGCGCATCCTTTTCTCAAATTAATTCTGGGAAACAGAATCCACATTTCCTAAAGATGAACGTCTAACATTTTTTTTCTTCATAACTAGAACCATAACTTGGAATGCAACTTAGAAGGCATATGTGAACATGGAGCATTCCCTTCAAGAGGAGATCATTTTGCGGAATATCACAGTGTATATGATAAAAATGGGAAACAACAGAAATATGGTAAGGTCAAATGTCATCGGAAATTTGGGAAGCCAACTGCGACAGATGTGGGCGCATCTGTTTGAACATTGAACTCGAAAAGTTCAAAGCATTCTGGTTACGTTACATATATAAATGTCCGTGCAAGGTAATCTTCACAGAGTACAAATTATTCCATGCATGTTCCAGTAGAGAGACAAATTATTTCGATATAAAATCGCTAGTTTTTAATGCTAAATTGAACATTTCATGCCAAATAAAAAACCCAACAAAATCCATGACCTGGTGCATTGAGAAAAGATGTACCCTATCATTAAAAGAGCAGAAAAAGCCTATCCAATAAATATCCCCAAAAAAATTGATACTCTGAGAAAGCATACCTTAATCAGGCTATTCAGTGCAGAACGCAACTCAGTTCTAACTTTATATAAAGATTTATTATTTTCATGTGTGTACTCCATGGCTGCAAGAATACGACAAGAGATATCAGGACCTAACTTCGGCTTGACAGTATTAATCCATTCCTCATGATTTGTTTTGAACTCATATCTGAAAAGTCCGCAAATGAAATATTGTGTCAAGATGAGGGTGAAAGGAAAAATCATCTAAAAATTAAATACTGACAAAAAGACCAGGGAAGAAAGTAAATAAGAAAATAAAAGCCCAAAAAAGGGGACAGCCAATCAGACAGATTGTATCAGAATCAGCTCGTATACAAGATGAAAGGCCCCGAGGTGGATTGTACCAGAATCAGTGCATATACATGATGGATGCGCATAAGAGAGATTGGGTCGGAATCAGCTCATGTTCATTTTGAATCCCATTAGAGGGATTGGGTCGGAATCGGCTCATATTCAAGTTGAATTGTCTATAAGAGAGGATTATAATCAGCTCATATCCTAGATAAATGCCCATTTTTTTCTTAGATGCATAAGATATACCGGCTTAGATGGGCAAGAATGGGCTGCAACATACACGGATCCGGTGATTGATCTTGCCCTGATGGCCATAAGAAAAACACAACATGATTTGAATAAGGATGAAAAACGAATGGTTTATGTATTTGTATACGCTATAAACTTTTATCCAAAAAACACCCACCCCAATCATCTTCATATTCATCTGGAAAAATTGGTTTATGTAACCCACAGGAACAGAAACCAACAGGGACTTGGATGTTTTGTAATCTTCCCTGTTGAGACAAGCTAATCATCAAAACCCTTCTTCATTTTATAAAGCTGGACAGTATTGCCTTTTTAAAAAAATTCCTTTTCCTCTTCTTCTCTAGCAGCCTGGCCTGGCATTGGTGGATATTTTCTCCTTCTTATCATTTGGCTATTCCTCCACCATAGATTCATTAAGGTTCGCAAGTGGTTAATCCAAGTGAGGTCAGCCAATTTTTTGTTCTCTCTCTTCTTTTTTTTTCTAACCAGTATGGATAGATTTGAGTTGCCCCATTGAACAACGACAAGAAATCAAATTCCCACACAAACTGTCTGAATTGGCAAAGTATAGATGAAGGATTAGGAGAAAGAAAACGACAAAACAGCTAAGCCCTCAGCACCTGTTGTCACCCTCAACCCATGGTCTTTACAAGTTGTTGCTGTTGCTGTTGCTGCCTGTCACCACTAAAGTTGACTGCTGCGCCTAATAGCAGAAGCGAGTTCTTTTTTTTCTCCTTCCTCTTTTCCTCCCAGTCACCAGACTACCCTTCCACTATCTTCCCTAATTAAGAACTGCAAGAATTGACACAAGTCACTGGAACTGACCAGTTTTAAGAGGTACTGGTCAAGAAAAGATTTTTTTTAAGTTACAGTTTTAAGATCCTTAATTTCTACAGCTGAGATGTGGTACTTTCTACTCACTCACCCCACCCACTATTCTTTCTCTCTGCATCAGGTGTGTCCAATGAAAAGGAATCCCCCTCCTGGTCTCCACATGGCCTGCCAGGCCCTATAACTGCAAAATGCAACCAGAATGTCACCCTATTTATGAACCTAATGCATCTTGACCGGGACGGATTTAGGTAACCCAACCCATCCTCCAATTCAGTCGAATTCTTTTAAAGCAGTCATACTGTTCGGGGACAAGAAGAAACTAGCCCACTGCCAACTGAACTAGCCTGCAGCTTTTCGAATGTTTTCTCGCGTTTTTTTTTTACCGCGATCGTGTATTCCCAACTGAATTATCCAGAGCACGCCGATGCATGTAATATCCCGACTCTGGCATTAAACCAGAGGTATTGTTCCACAGTGGGTGTTCACCTGACACTAGATCTGGACAAGGCACTTGCCTCCAGGTCTAGTTGCATCTGATGTTGGAGAATAACTCATGTGTTTTGGCTTTCAGATCACATTCATGACAACTCGAATTGAGCCTCTGGGGATCAGCAACCCAGATAAGATTTCAAACATGGCCCCCAACTTTTTGTACCCCGCAAAAAGTTCATTCCATTAACCAACCCAAACGTTTCAAAATAGCTAACCCACCTTCCAAACAACCGCTGCCACTTCCAATGTCATTAACTACGAATCATATTAAAATAGTAACAAGAAATCATTTATCTCTTCCAAAAGATAAGCTTGCGGATACTAAGAAACTTCAAGCCATATTAGAAGGCATCCATATCCACTTTCACTTTTTGCAGATCGGTTAGTAAAAAAAAGTTATGTAAAACAGTATGAATAGAAGGATATGCATACGAATGTTGCTAAATTCAATATTCAAACAAAAATTCAACAGAAAGATAATTTCCGATAGTAGTTTGTTGTGCAATATGCTCAAGCCATAACGAGTGGGGACACTACCATGAGAATTACAGTAGTTAAAAACCTTGGCCTGAAAGTGCAAATTACAAGTGTTAACATTGTGGATAGTTAAAAACCTTATCCACAATTTTTTCTTTAAGTGGAAATTTCTTTACTCTGCAACTCCCAAAAAAATTAAGATCGGAATAAATAAAACAGAATCTTTGTTTCAGATGTGCAAGATCAAGCTACAAAAACGAGTTACACACGCACCTCTGTATCAATAACATCACAGCTGATAAAGCCTTCAAAGCTGATGTTCCTTTTTGGATATTCGTAGATGATTCACAGAACTGTTTTAAGCTCGGTACGTTTGATGCAATATACTGCCCAATATTCACATGTTCTGGCGGTTGGTCTGCGCACCCAATAAAAACAATATAAAACTCAAAAACTCATCAAACTTATTCAACAGAACTAACCAGATAATAATGTCAAACAACAAGCATATCTCATCTCTGAGCCTTTAAACACGGACAAGAATACTTACAACCCGACAAGCTCTCAATAGCTTTGCTTAAGACATGCACAGTTTTCTCTTTTGGAACCCTTGAAAGCTGAAAGCAGTCATCTGCAATGATGAAGCGTCTTTTTCTTTTTGGCCCCAATGAAGGAGCTTGTAGTAATACGTTCCCAACCCGATGCAAAACAGATACATCTTGGGCGAACAGCCCTAAACAATAGAAAATTAAATATGATAAATGCAAAAAGCAGCAAATTAATCATGCAAAGACAGATAAAATTCCCCATCTTTTAAACAAAGGTGATGACAGCAAAAAAGCTAATTTTATTTATTCCACCATGGTCAATCAGGCCAACTGATCCATTTCTGGTCAGATTTAACCCACCAAATTTGCCATATGATGCATAACTAAGAGGAACAAGCCCCAAGCTCTAAATGAACGTGATGAAAAAAGGATGCACAGACTGCGAATATCATGCATCAGAAGACGGTAAAAAAGCCCCGCAGCTTGTGTAAGCGCATAAAGAAGAAAGATGTCATAAGGCTCGTGCGAGCAGAATTCGAAGAGCAATAAACAACTAAGGGGCAAACTGAAATGCATCAGGGTCGTACTCCAGCACTTGAATGTGCAAATATTTTGGCCACGGAATTCCAAGAAATAGCAATACGTATTAAGTTCCAAGAACACTGACACCTAATATTTCTGGACTTTGTATGTCTGTAGTACATCCACAAAGACACCGAAGTCGTGTTTTAACATATCAGTCGCAATTATCAAATGAGACAAATAGCAAAACCTTGAAAACGCCAAACTCAAGATTTAGATACTAACCTACATCAAATTAAGATTCAGGTAAGTTCGCACATATGTGTATATAAAATATCTCTAATAGAAGTATGCAAACGGACAAAAGGTCAAGGGAAGTATACTTAAAAATAGAAAGGAAGAAAAAAATATATATAATGCATTTCTTGTCAGAATTGCAGTAGCATATAAATGGTGAAAAGATTGGTCCTATTGAATTCTGGTACTCAGAGAATTAGAAAAAAAAGTCGATGCCTTTTTACCAGATGTCTCTAAGCTTCTTGAATTTATCAACACTCCAACAGTGGACAAGATACCATGAGAAGGTCGGAATCCGAAAATGCCACATAAGGATGCAGGAATCCTCACACATCCGACTACATCAGTCCCTGCAAAATACAATTGTTCTCATCTGATCAGGAGTCCATAGAATTACATGTTCATCGTTACAAAAAGTGGTGAGTAAATCTACGAATGATACACAAAACTGTTAATGAACTCTGATTCCAACATTTGCTAAATAACTCATATTCTTTGATAAATTAGATTCATGCAACCATATTTTCTTGGTTACAAGAAACTCAGAAATAAATCATGTTGCTCCACACAGCGACTAACCCTGCCCATTCTGTTACGTCATTCAAAAAAAGTCTGATGGTTATTTTAGATAAAATCTTTGAAGTTTCCAGAACTTCTCATAAGTAGGGCTTCCATCACAACATCAAAACAACTGAACTGAACTAAGAAAGATAATCTACAACGGGCATTAGGCCTTATAGTTATGGTCTAAGTTTGCTAAAGGATATAACTATGAAAAAAAAATTGCAAAAATTGTATGAAATATCAACTGAAAAAACGTTGAACTTAGACATATGGTTTTTCTCCAAATCAATAGCACACTTAAACAGGCCAGACATTTTTCCCTGAATCTACATAATTTGTAAAATAGAGTAAGGACATGTTGAATCAGTAAGTTAATTTGAATTCATCAAAAACCCGCAACAGCCGTAGCATGTGACGTGCATGGTGACAGCAGAAAGGAATGGTACCCTGATCTTGCCAATTCTCAACCAACTTTTGTCTTTTATGAAGGTAGAGGTGAGGCAAGCGAGGCACTGACCTATAACCTATTGCTTAAAGTAACAAGATAAGGCATCTATTCAAGCTAAGTTTTATACTAATGAGAATACGATCCATAGCACCTATTTTATTATGTGCTTACTTACCTTTCAAGTTAATTATCTAATGATATTAATGAACTATCCACACAATTTTCACGTAATGCCAAGTAAAATCTAGTTATTCTTCGTCATTATAACTATCAAAAAAGTATTTTGTATCAGGTGAACTTTTTAATGAGAAAACGAGTGAAAGACCTTAATGAAAATGGTACAGCACCAATGTACAAAATCCGCACACTCTCACTGCATATGTCATCTATTAAACATAACGATGCTGGCCAGGATGATTTTAGAGTGAGTCACATTTGGTGGTGGAGTTCATTAAATATGCCGTCACTCAAAATGTTACTTTAATATGGACTGGCAATCGTAGTTTTGAAGTGGAGTTTCGCTAATTTCCTTCACGCTTGATTCTTCATGACCACCAACAACATCCTTAGGGAAAATATTATTCAATAATAGTATATTAATTTATGACGTTCTTGAACAAGGCATTCAAGTATTCTCCTCCCTTTTGTAATTAGTCGTAAAAAGATTCAGGCAAAATCAGGTCAAAATATTCAGGACAAATTCGAAATGGAATGTTCCAACCTGAATCGCCTAACTAAAAAAATATGCATACATAGTAATGAAGCCACCGAAAGTCAACAAGGAGAGCACTTTTTTGGGCCTACTTTCCCAGGTCGTCAAACGCACCTCCCTTTTGTGATATATTTTGCATTTAAAACTATGGGAATCTCTCTGAAAACTAATCGAGAATGAGACTGGACAGAAAAATTCAGTATCATACCAAGTGCAAAATCAATCAGCCCAGCAGCAACGGCAACAGCAGAGCCACCTGATGATCCCCCAGGCATCAGCTGTAGCACATATGGATTTGTGGGTGTCCCATAATGTGCATTTTCTCCAGTGATGCTGCAATACCCAGGATCGGAAATAAGCTTTGATTGAGAACATCCCAATAAGTCCAATTATGTTACGTAATAAAAATACAATTGAGAATGTGATCGTTCAAAATACAAACCCAAATGCAAATTCGTCCATAACTGTCCTCCCAACACATGTGGCCCCCTGTTTCAGGAGACATGAGACCACAACGGCTGTCCTGCTCGCCGGCTCATGCGTCCTCTTCCAATCAGGGTTCCCGAAACCGGTAACGTAACCCTTGATATCAAAACTTAGAATAAAAAAAAAGAATAGTAACAATAGAATCCAATTAATAGCACAGCAACAAACAAATGGACGGGTAAAGGATCAACAAAATGTGCACCAACGGAAGAAAAGGCGCGCGTATCGTCTACCTGTCGCTGACGGCGAACCTGAGCTCCGCGAGCGGTTGCCGGGCAGCAGGGGGTGGCGGCTGAGGAGCGGGGAGGAGCTCGAAGCGCTCGATGAATGCCCCGAAGTCTTCCTTCGTCACTGATTCCCCATTCTCCCGTCTCCGTCTCCTGCGGGCAGACTCGGCAATGATTATAGCACCAGCGACGCCGACTCCGACGATGATCCATAACTTGGCGCTGGAGGAGAGATGGATCCTCCCTAGCCTCAGAGACTTTGACTGTTCCATCGTTTCGACCTGGATGGCTAGAGATCGTGAGATGATCAGCAGCAGCAACACTTCGATCCCGGGACTCGGGGAAGGGTTTTGAGAGAGAGAGAGTCTCAGATTTTCGACGATCATAGGGAAGGGTTTAAGCGTGCCCTTTAAATTGCTAACATGCACTGATCGATCGCACTCATCGAACGCCGCACCACGCGCGAGACAGAATATGCCGTGCAGGCTATCGTACACCGAAGATGCTATCGTACGCTAAAGATGACGAATAACTTGGATTTTTTATTATTAATATCCTCACACACCCCTCTCTCTCTCTCTCTCTCTCTCTCTCTCATACACGGATCTAAATATCTTCTTATTTCTATGTATTTAAATAAATTATTAATATATCATATATCCTGAAAAATAATCAAAACCAGGCACGCTTTATATAATTAGACCGCCATACACACATACATCCACGTCCACCGAGGAAAGAAATCCTCCCACGTCAATTATTCTCCAAGAACACGGAGATGGAACAGAGCACAAGAGCACCGACCATCCTCGATATCCACGAAGTCAACCCACCAGATGAGTGAAACATAATACGCTTGGCTTTCAGAGACAGACCCCTCAGCATCATCTCACCGGTGCACCGGCCTCACAAAGTCAGCAGCTTCTGGTTCACGTCGAATCTCTCAGAAGAGGAGAGCTGCGGCACCTGCATGCCGCCGCAAAAATGCGAAAAAAAGGTCAACGCTTCTCGATCTCAAGTCATCCGAGGATCCGGCTGCAGAGGATTTCATCCGGCTGCTAGAATTTCAGATTCTCTGAAGAGGGTAGCTCCACAACGGCTAGATGTTACCGAGGATCATGAACCAGAGGGAGAGAGACAGCGAGGAAGAAGAAGAAGAAGAAGATCAGTCACCTGATGGGATCGGGACCGAAGAAATTTGCCCATAAAGGGAATGATGCTAGCGGCGGCGCCTGCCTCTGATTTGCGGATGGATTTTCTGATGTTCAACAGCAAGGAGCCGTATGTTCTTGCGGATCCTCTCTCCACGGCTTTGATGAAGCAGTAGGTCATGGCACCGGTCGTGGCATTGCCGGAGAAGGCCTGCGCGAGAATTGACTCCACCAGTAGGTCAGAGGCTTTCCTCCAAGATGATGGCGAACGGAGGAGGAGGAGGGAGCTCCCTCACATTTGTTTCGGAAGATGTCTGGTCATCTCCGCAGGAGCTGAAACAGACGGCCAGTCCGCCGCTCGTCCCCTTGGGCAGACGGCTGTAGCTCTCCCACTGGTAATCCCCCTTGCTGCCATGAACAACCAGGGCCTTAAGTCCCTGAATTCCATTACTAGGATCTTGTGCTGACATAACTGGAAACGAGAGTTCTGCAGCACTTCCTCATGTTGATGGCTGTAGTATGAGATCACCTGTTCATGTTGCAGACGAAGGGAAGGTCGAGAGCGGAGCCGCTGTGGCAGGCGTCGACGACGGCGTGGAGGGTGACACCCTGAGGGAGGGGCCTCACGAGAATGGCGTTGACCATGTCGTCGACGATCGCCCCGCTCTTCTGGTAGTCAACGGGGCACAGCGTCTCGTCGTAGCCGTCCAGCTCGTCGCCGTCCTTGTCCGCAAGCTGTGAGCCGTGGCCGGAGAAGTGGAACACCAGGGAGTCCCCCCGCCGGCAGCCGGAAACCAGCCACCGCATTGCCTCCAGGATATTCTCCCTCGTCGGCGTCCTCCTCGGGTTGCCCTCCCCGTCTGCATCTATCCTCCCCAAGCCAACGGATCAGAGAGCAGAAACTCCGGCCATGGGAAAGCTGACAAGTATTGAATTGAAAGTGTTCGTCTTTCGCTTGTTGTTGTTACCGGTGAGAACGAGGATGGACGGCTCTGGGAAGCCGAACCTGCGCTGAAGGAGGAACTTCATGCAGTTGACATCGTTGACGGAGCCCTCCAGCCGCTTCCAGCTCCGCTTATAGCTTATCCCCACCAGGAGAGCCCTCTTCTTGCCGTGCGGCGACGTGGGGCTCGACGGCGGCGGCGGCAGCGGCAGCAGCGCCTGTGCCCAGAGGGGGGCGGCGGCGCCGCACGCCGGCGCAAGGGCGCCGTGGAAGGCAGCGCATCGCCGGAGGGGCGAGGACGCCCCACACCGTGTGCACCACTGGGTTCGGCCGGTCATGACGTCGTGATCTGAGCAGTTCTGGAGATGCCTTCATCTCGCAGGGTGTTGATAAGAAGAAGAGGATAGAAAGAACGATGGGCGGTGGATTCCCCCTTCCACCGGCGAGGCCTTGCTTTCATTCCCCCACTTGCCGAATCTAGAAACATTGGAAGAGAAAGACAAGAGTTAGCTCAAAAAAGCGTCCTCTCTCTCTCTCTCTCTCTCTCTCTCTCTCTCTCTCTCTCTCCTCTCTCATGAGGCACTGGATGATGAAGTGAGGATCTTTCTCGCCTTTTCACAATCCAAATTTAAAATATAGCAACAACTTAAAACCAGAGACAAACCCGTCATGCTAGCAGAGTATTGAGGGAGAGAGAGGGAGAGGGAGAGATAGAGAGAGAGAGGCAGCAGAGAACGAACAGAGGCAAGGCACGGCATCTCTTTCACCTTTTAAGATATCACAGTGAGAAAACAGACCTGCTCGCAGGTAAACTTCAAACCAGAGCCAACGCCATCATGCCAGCGAGAGAGAGAGAGAGAGAGAGAGGAGCTTTACACGGCAAACCAACCTCCATCATGTTCTTTGGAACCCAGAATGCGCCCTCCTTACAGAACTCGGCTCACCCATGGTGACCGGGACCAGCGACTTCGAAGCCCAGATCTTTGCGTTCATCGCCCCTTCCTGCAAATCCCGCCGGCGGCAGGGGTTGAGGCTGAGCTTCGCAAAGGCCATCCGAGAGCCATCCCACAGGCTCGCAAACCTCGCCACGCCGCCGTGCCGCCGCCAGGCCCGCCGGCCGCAACCCAGAACCGACGGCAGGAGGAGGTAGACGACCCGGCACACCACGAAGGCCGCCGCCAGTGCCAGGTACGTGTCTTCCTGGAAGAACCTCTCAGGCGACCTCGCCCAAGAGAAGGGGCAGTTCTCCAGCTCCACGTCCTTGGGCCTGCCATTGATCGGCGCCCTCAGGAGCCTCTCCAGGGATGCTAAATCCAGTGGCCTCAGCGGGATGCCTGCGGGAAGCGAACGTTATAAAAAAAAATGGGTTTGCAACCCACAAGAAGCTTGTTCAATTCTCATGCATGATTCTTTTTTTGTTATTTTAAGCAGCAAAACTCAGATTTTTATCCAGGAAAAGTCGTTGGAAATGGAAAATTTGACAGAAATAAACTATAGAATAATCACATTAAGATTCACCTGTGACATCGTTGTAGAAAGCAATGAGAGAAGCCACGGCTCGGGAGCCATGATATCGAACCCGCATCGTTGAGTTTATGAGGAAGAGGGTCGGGAAGCCATGAACTCCGTACCTGGAGAGTATGCTGTCGGATTGATTTTACGTCAGAAATCGCGCCTCCCCCCTCTCCAAATGATCAAATAAAACCAGATCAAGAACATGATTCGCGTCAGACCTTGGCCTGATGACAGACTCCTCAAATGCGAAGTGGCGGATGCTAGGAAACAACAGAGACAGTGCGTTGAAATTGGGTTTGCAGGCTCTTGAAAACGGGCACCATGATGCATAGAAGAGCAATGCCACATAGTCGTTCTTGTTTTTCTGAACGATACTCAAAGCCTGCTGAAGTGTGGCCTCCTCCCCCTGGCAAATGCGAGAAATAAAATGCACATGAGGCATATATAATATATGTAGTTACCATTATACTCCCACAAATAACGAACGTCAAAATGTAAAATTCTATACGAGGTGCTCTTTTTTTTTTTACCCAGATCCAATTGGCATGACGACTCATAATAAAAAGATATTATGATCTGAGTATGAGAATGAAAATATCCCCAAATAGATTAAAAAAAAAGAGGAACAGCCCACCCACAAGAAACTCAGGTGAAGCAGGCAGAGAACCAAGTTAGTCTTGAGCAGAGGTTTACGCAGGCTCTCGGCTATAGGAGATCCAGGACTCCTGGAGATGGAGTAGAGTGAAGGAGGACTCTACAATGGGATGTCAATCATGTGAAAGACTGAATAGTAGAAAAAACACTAGTCAGCACCGACAGGAATTTGCCTCCAAAATTGCCAGCCATGTGCAGATCCAGGAGTAGCACAAGTAAATATCTTCTGGAATGATGGTTATGGAAGATCTGACGTCCTGCACATTCCCATCAATCTCAGAACCAAACCAAGTAAGCTAAGTAATACATCTAGCAATGGGCTCTAGTCTGCTATCTGGGCCTTTTGAAGTGACCTTGGATCCAGATTTGGTTCAATGAAGACCAAATGAAAGAATATGGATAAGACAAACCCGTCATGGGGGAGAAATCTGGCAACAAAAAAAATTGCGCGATGGCTAGAACACATCAAGAAGATCTGACATTGGAAAGGAAGGCATCAGAATCATGTTGCTGACCTCTCCAGCCCTCAATCTCATCTGGTAGTGATGGTGGTATAAAATGGTTACCTCCTTCATTTCCGAGTTGGAATAATGGAATAAGTAGATGTCAATGAAAATCATAAAGAAGGAAAAGTCAGGTTTTGCAGGGAGATCTTCAATGTGCATGACAGAAAATATACATCTAAAGAAATTAGAAGACATCACCAGGTGAACCTGTATTGGAGTGTCATTGGAGGAGGCAGAACTTGTTATGGTTAGGTTTTGATCAAAATCCTGGGGATAGCCTAGTGAACAAACCAGATCAGAAAACTCCATGACGATCTTTATTGGCATTGTCACTCCTAAAAAGCATAAAGTGGAAATCACCACTTCAGCAAAGTGCCAAATAAGAGTGTGTAAACACGTGAGAGCCAATAAATGGGGGATTGCTTACATTTAACATAACATTCTGATGGAAAACAGTAGTGCAGGCGCTAAAGAGATTCCAAGATTAAAATATAATATTTGGCTAGTTTTAATTCGTTTTGTACCAATGGATCAAGTAGGTACAGTTTTAAATACGTAATTGTCCCCCGCACTCTCTCTTAATATGTACTGGTAACTACATTCTCACCCTTGATGTCAAAGCAGGATGAAGTTTAGGACTTCACCATCACTCACTAACCTGAATTTTTCTCTGACAATCCTCATAAGATGATCTCCACTTGTTCCATTTCCCAATTTAAATTATGACACTACACGCTACAGTCAATGAAACACTACAATAGCACAGTGCTACACTTCTCTCATGCGAGGCTACGGTGGCCATCATTTCAACTATCAACATGGAGTCATCTTACAAGAGATCATGACCAATCAGTGCGTTTCCCTACTAGGGTGGTCATAGCATAAAGTCCTTCTGAGATGAAACCAACATCATTACGCTACATAAATTTTTGAACATCATTACTAGGAAGAGATCATCATTTGCAAGCATATTGTCTTCTTAAAAGGTTGCTGTGAATAAATGGATGTCTACTTATCGTTTTCCCAAAAGGCTTCCGTGAATGCTTACGTGATCTTCTCATAATTATCATGAACCCATGCAAATAGTTGTTTTTCATAAGCTTATTTTGTGCACATGCATGACTCCACGCCTTCCTCTCTGAAAAGTATCGTGAATGAGAATCAAACACGAATGACTGCCGTTATTTAATTCATATCTTTTAATCTATGCTGGCCTCCTTCTGGGCCTGTCCATGAGGCCTTTCGGATTTTCATAACTTTCTACAATGATTTTTCTCTACATGGTTATTTTTTAAGGAAATTAAGTAGTAGGCCATTCTCAGCATCGAGTAATAATAGAGAAAAAAATTCCTACGCATGTTACAGATTTAGAGGAAGCTACAGAAAAGTTATTTGTTTTTGTGTTAACGTCAAGGAGGCTCAATTTTCCAATAAATGGGAGACAGACTCATCTAGATCTACAGATATTCTTTACTTTATCTCTCAAACAACATGAAAGATGAGGACTCTGAATGGAGAATATTTGGTAAATGTAGTTAATGACTACGTGCAGACCAAAAAAATGTTGCGTCACCATTAGAAAGAGAGTAAATCGAGAAAAAAGTGGGTGTGACATGTAACACTTGGATTGCAAAAGACGTAGAGTGTGGGAATGGATGTAAGGGAAGGTTCAGTAGAATAGAAGAGGGCATTAGCATTACCGGTAATTCACTAGGTAGGAAGATGAAATTGTCCTGGTTCTTATTACCATGAGCGGCCCATGTGATCAACATGAGAAATCTTCTCTCAACCCCTCAGCTACTTCAAAAGAGAAGACGCGGTGTGTTTTGAAACAACTTCAATGCCACATCATAGGCAAAGAAAAGGCCATTACTACAGACATTCGGAAATGGATAGACTCAGATGGCGTACCAGGACTGCAATATGATATGAATCATACTTCCTATTGTTTTTACTCACGGGAAATTCTCCGGATGATGCTCAGTTATTCAAGAAGCCTCAGATTATATGGTCTTCCTTGCCACCGGACCTACCTAAAGGGAAGAAGAATCTATGAATACTTGAAAAGCAAAACGCGCTTGTGGGTAGTTTTTTCATTCATAGTTTACTGAGAGGAGTATCACGCAAGCCTTTTCTTTCTCCCTGATTCAATTCACAGTCGCCAACCCAGACGGTCCAACGTTGCTCATTAAATAGTCGAGAAAATTCTAACACACTACCGAAAAAATCCCAAATGGAATGCTTAGGAGCCAAGACAAAAATCAAGAAATAAATATCTTAAATGCTGAACATATCTGGAGAAGCACCAGACATATGTCTACCAACCAACCTCCGTGACGCCGGCAAGATCCGCGACGGAGCCCCCAAACCTAGGCGAGTACCAGGACGGGCACCAATCCCGAAGACCCGATAGAAAAGACTCGGCAGCTGGCTCGATGGGGCAGACGGCCGCGACAGCGGCCCCGTCCACGGAGATCCCCTTCCCTCCCCCCGCTGCCTCTTCAAGCCCGCCCAGGAGGACGGTCAGCAGCATCATCCCCGCCCCCAAAGCCCTCGCCGCCATGTCTGCCCCCGGACGCGAAATTTGGGGAAGGCCGATCGTACGAGAAGAGAGGAGAAGCAGACGGTGGCGCAAGATCACCGGAGGGAACGAACACGGGGAATTCTTCCGACGGCGTTGAGCTGCCCAGAAGCCGCCGGGGGTAAGGTTGAAGACGACCAGTTGATTACGGGAGTCGCACTTGCCGACCTTGGCAAGAGAGAGAGAGAGAGAGAGAGAGAGAGAGGAGAGAGGATGACAAATTCCGATCGTCCGTTTCCAATCCTACAGTAGAAAAAATTACCTATTCAGAATGGGGAGAAGACCCCCGCTAAGTGGCTCAGGAGATCTACTTCCCTCCTGAGATTGGCACGTAGCCCATGGACTCCACTAAGCAGCGGCCACCCCCCTAATCAGTGGGCCCCATCCAACTCCACCCCCCCTCTCCATTGCATTCTAACTGCAGCCCATAAAAGCTCAAAGGGGCCCATCTCTACTGCCGTGTCCACCAGGCGATGCATGGTTCATTGTAAATCACATGCTAAAAAGATAATAATACACGAATAAAGTTATTTATTTATGGTTTTCTCATTTATTTGACCTATTAAATTATTTTCCCACTGTGAATGATGATTATATGCAATTTTCACGAGTTTTGGGGAGAAAGAATATGCAAACTCTATGACAAAATTTATCATAAATTCGGTCAACTTTTAAGGGTGGGCCCCACAATCACACATTTTTTGAAGGGTTGGCTTTCGTAAAAGTCAATGTGTGCCAATGGAGAACAAAGTTTTGTTTTAATTGATCAGTTATTAAATATATAAATAAATATAATATAATGCAAGGTCACATTGTGGGACATCCATGGGATGTTAAGTGCTATGAATTAACAAGACTATAAATAACATTTATAATTTTTGGGGGATAAGATTCTATAACATGACAAAATATAATATTTTAATTATATATCATATAGCTATATATTTCCAGGGCTTGACCCTCATAGAAAGAAAAGTCAATGTAGGGCCATACAAGATAAGCCAAGTTCGAATATATTAACCGTCACATTAATATCATATCTAGGTCTTCATGGAGAATTCATCATTAATAAAGATGAGGTGTTGCCTAAAAATATTATTATTGAGGAAATTTTAACTATGCACAACTAAATATCTAGGAAAGTGGTAAATAAAAACGAATTTATTGCTATTATTACGATATCATGACCACTAGCAATACATACCATGCATATCTAGATGCACATTAAGCCATGAAAAGGATGATAAAACCAAGATACCCTTCAGGCTTTCAAGAATAATTCAATAGATTGGAACCTTCAAATTGAAGAGTAGGTACCTCATTTGTTGATGAGTAGCTACTTCTTATAATATTTAGCAATAATTATTTATTTATAGTACAAGATTATTGTGAAAATTGGGTAATGCGAGAGTTCAACTAAGGTAAAATGGGAGCAACTTTTATCATTATTTTAAATCATTGACTTAAACATGGTTTTATTTATTTTTGGCTGGTATGAAACCATTATTTTGATCTATGGGCATGCACACATGGCTCACATGGTGTGGATAGAAAAGGCTCCAAAAAGACAACCCACCTCCCTAGTGTGGGGGCTGATTGAATGATGAATTTGTCGGGCCAAAGCCCAAGTTGAAAAAGATGGTCCCAATGGGCCAGGAGTGTTAATACTGAGATCACATGTGGGCTTTTTCCATTCATCTTTATGATTTTTTCTTCTTTCTTTGGTTTTTCTCGCTTTAAAAAATATGAGAATTTGAGAAGATTTCCTAACTCTCAGATTTTCTTGAGAGTGTGGTTTATGGGGCTCCAAAGGTTTCCTTTTAAGGTAGTCAACAACATGGGAAGCCTTTGATACCCACCAACCACCATACTTGGAGCATGCAATTAGAGTTTTTAGCTTATGTGACCACATTCAAAGGGAATATTTCTCAAACATCACACTTGAGCAATCTAAAGAGGGAAAATGAGAGCTTCAAGATCATATTATTATGAGCTCATTATTTTCATCAGTATAACTTTATTTTGATATTTGTTACTGATTTTAGGACATTAATTTTTTATATAATTGTGTTCTCTTTTTCCTATTTAAATGCCTCATTAAAGTATATCTCATTATCCTTTTGTACTTTATTGGAGAGAGGTAGATATATATATATACGTAAATATAGGGAGAGAGAGAGAGAGAGAGAGAGAGAGAGAGAGAGAGAGAGAGGTTGGTTTTACCAACATATGCTGTTTTTAGCATATATTTAATTTGTTATAAAAATATGCTATGAACATCTTTGTAGAGATGAGTCCACAATAAGAGTAACTTTCAATATTATTTGGGAAAAATAAAATATGTTTGTAATAGTATAAGGCTAATTTTATATTGTCATCGTTGTATAGAGAAAAAAAATCAAATTTTGACGGGTGAATTTGTACGGACGGCAATCCAACTGGACCCAGCAGTCGATGGGCCCGCAGTACGGACGATTTAGTTAAATCTCTCAACCATCCGATCGGATTTGATCTGTTCCCCACGTGTCCGATCGACGGAATAGCGACAAATTCGGCGCCTCTGGCAGTGGCACGCCGCGTGACATGCGCGGTCCCAGACGACAGAAAGTTTCTGCCTTTCGTTATCCCTCCCCTTCACCAGATCGACCTCACCAGGTTCCTCTCTCTCTCTCTCTCTCTCGCTCTCGCTCTCGCTCGGCGTCTCCAAGAACTTATAATATACTGGTCTCTGGAGAAGGTGTGCGCTGCGACTGGTGAGGAAGCTTCTCTGACCTTCGCTCCCTCTTTGTTTCTCTCTCTTGCTGGGCTCTTGCGGGAAACCAGAACATCACCCTCGCTCGTTTAGGGCATCTGGGTTTGCGCAGTCTTCTGGGAGAGGAAGCAGGAGCCGTAGCGGTCTAGCGTCTTCTGAAACCTCTCCGAGAGGGAGGAGATAAGCCGCTCTCCGGCGAAGGTTCGTTCCTCCTCTCTCTCTCTCTCTCTCTCTGTGTCTGCTTCTCTCACCTGGTTTCTTTCAGCGGGGTTCTGATGTGTCTTGAATCCGACTCCGCCATTGCTTCCTGTTTTCCGAGGCATTCCTCGCTCACGGATGAAAATATACGCCTCTGAATCCGATCAGCCGTCATCTTCTTCATGTATCTGATCGGAATCTCATGGCCTGTGAATCTAAGTTTTCTTTCCTCTTCCGGGAAGTTGCCATATTTGGAGATCTCGATTAAGTCCCTTGAGTTCATGCCATCTCACACGGAATGATTCTTCCAGGGATGTGGGGTTCTAATATAGTTGTTCTACATGTATTACATATGATTCTACGAACGAGAAAAAAAGAAGAAATCCTACTTTCTTCTATTGCAGTTCGTCGGGATCCCTGTTCCCGTTATTGTGGAGAAAACCAGGGGATTTCCCAGGAACAGAGGAGCTCCTTCTCTGGGGCTCTCCATCTCCGCCAAACCACTGCCTGGAGCTCGACTTGTGGGTCAGTTTCGGACTGATTCAGCTCCCCAATGTCTCTTTTTTTCAGGGAAGGATCCCAAGACGGGGTCGATTCAGAGCCGCCGTGGTGATATCGAATCCCGCCTGCAACTCTGGCCATCCCTTTGGCTCTTCCTCCTCACACCTTGAGCAAGGTGTGGGCCCAAGCGGGTGATCTTTCCGATTACTCGGTCTCCCCAGCTTCTCTCTCCTGGCAACTTGGCTACGTGGTCAAGGGCTCCCCGATCGACAACGGCTAACCCCTCGAAGACCTGGTGCTCCTGTTTCAGCCTGCTGCTATTTTTTTTTCTCACTGAATTGATTCCGAAGGCATTCATTTTCGAGCCCAAGAACAGCTCTTTAATCGTAGGAAGATTAGGGTAGGATCTGTGAGACAGTTTCTGGAGTGCACACTGTTGGGAGTGGTGGAAATGGCCAAGATCAGCTGCTTCTCTGCGCTGCTGGTCAGGAAGAAGAAGAAGAAGACGGCCAAGGTAATGCAGGATCGACTACTTTCCCCTCTCTTCCCTTTGTAAGGGGTCATTGTGGCAGCGCATATTTCCTGCAGATTAACCCGGTTTCTTCTCCCTTAGGATGCTCCAAAGGTGGTGGAAAATGCCAAGAATGGAATCCTGCAGCTGAGGTTGGAGAGCCTGGTCCACCCTTCTGATGATATCAGAGCAAAGGAGGCGGCCCATGATTCCAAAATTCTTGGAGATGATCAATTGGATGGCATGGAGGGGGCATATGAAGGTGGCGATGAGCATGACGATGCCTCATCGATGAGGAGAGATTTCTCCGACTTTGATCTCCAGGCAAAGACTGCAGCAGGGCAGGGAGAGGACGCGGGAGCAAATGGAGGCTGCCTGGATGAGAAGCCCGAGGGAGAGGGAGGGGTTGCTGCCGATGCGGTGATCCTGAGTGGGCACATCAGCGACCCGGGTGTCGGGCAAAAATCAGATCTTTGTGGGTCGCCAAGGCTGAAGCGGTCGTGCTCCAACATAGAGACCCGGGCGGCTGCCGCCTGCCTGCCGCTGCTCTCCCCGTCGAAGTCCCTCTCGTACAAAGACCTCCAAGCTCTGTTGGGAAATGGGGTTGGAAGTGTCTCTCATGAATTCAATGGCAGCCCCTTGTCGGTGATCACTTCCTGCAGTGCTGACCGAGTGATTCTGAAGAAGAAGTCGTCGAGCCAGGTGCTGCCGTCCAGGAGCCGGAAGCTGTGGTGGCGGCTGTTCTTGTGGAGCCATCGGAACCTCCACAGCTCCTGGAATTCTTCCGCCCAGAAAAGAATTCCAACCCCTTATGATGGTTTTAACAGCCGGAAAGGTGGCTACTCTTCGGACACGCTCGAGCCAGGCCATGGCAACGAGGGTCAGGAAGCTGCGGCCGGGTGTGGCCGGAGCCAGTGGGTTGCTTTCTCCATGGAGTCCTCCTCCTCCTCCTCCCCTCTTGATAGGGTCAACGCTTGGGTCAACAGCCTTGAGGACAATCCATGTTCTTCGGTTGACTTTTATGCAGCAGAGACTCCTGCCTTCCCCGACTCTCCCGATGATGGGGAGCAGGCCAGGAAGAACAGCCAGCAGCACCAGAGTGGCCGGCGGCAGGCGGAGGAGGTCTTCAGGGCCAACCACATCATCCAGTCTCTGAATCCCCTTTCGACAGTGGCCCACATTTCCGGCATGGGCCTGCATGTCGTCCCCACCATCTCCGCCTTCACCAGCCTCCGAGCCGTCAATCTCTCGAACAACTCCATAGGTGGATAATCTTTTCGATCGCCATTATCAGAACAACTCCATAGGTGGATAATCTCTTCTAGCCTCTCATGCTGCGTTAATTTTCAGCTCATATCAACCCAGGAGCATTGCCGAAGAGCCTCCACGCCCTTGACTTGTCGAGGAACAGGATCACGACGATCGAGGGCCTTAGGGACCTCACCCGTCTCCGGGTTCTCAATCTCAGCTACAACAAGATCTCCCGGATCGGCCATGGTGAGAGAACGATCACCCTCATCGACAGACTCTCTTTCTCTCTCTCTCTCTCTCTCCTCTCTCTCGTCTGTGAATGGAGATGAATGGATTTTAAGTCTGTTCTTCCCATATTTAAACATCCCATCGCGTCAGGGTTGTCCAACTGCACCCTCATCAAGGAGCTGTACCTGGCCGGGAACAAGATCAGCAACGTGGAGGGCCTCCACAGGCTTCTGAAACTCGCGGTGCTGGACCTGAGCTTCAACAAGGTGACCACAGCCAAGGCATTGGGCCAGCTCGTCGCCAACTACAACACCCTCCTGGTCCTGAACCTGCTGGGGAACCCGGTCCAGAGCAACATCGGAGACGACCAGCTCCGCAAGGTGGTCGCAGGGCTCCTCCCGCAGTTGGCTTACCTGAACAAGCAGCCCATCAAACCACAGAGGGCCAGGGAGGGCGCCGCCGATACCATAGCCAAAGCCGCCCTCGGCAACAACACCGCGTTGAGAAGACCCACGCGGCGGGCCAGCCAGGGCGGCGCTGCTGCTACCTCTTCGGCCAGCAGGGGCCGTCCGGTTGGCGGCGCCGCCGTCGGGCACAGAACTAGGCGGCACGGGGGGAAGCCCAAGCTGCCAACCTCTGCAGGGCGAAGGTAGAGCAGAGCAGCGACTGGAGTCAACTTTGAAACTGGGTCGGAAGAAATCATCGGTCTATCCTTTTCTGCCATCGCTTGTTGTTGTTGTTGTCTGTCTGTGAGACTGTGGACTTGGTTTGTGTCAGTCGCAAGAAAACATGTCCCTTTCTGCTTGAATTTGTGTGGATGAATCGCCATGAGGCTGAAGAATCTCCACGGCTGTCCACGCCATGGATTTTCTTGACCCTCCGGCTCGTCGGAAAAACGTCGCTTTCTGCCGGATTGGAGGGGATTTCTCTCCCTGCCAATGAAAGGACTGCGGAGCAGACCCCGACAGGGATGGATAGCTGGCCTGCATAGGCTGGTGGCGGTGGTTATCCGACGGCGATGGAATATGCACGTGCGAAAAAAACAGGTCAACGATAATCCTAGAATAATCCTAGAATTTAAGTTTATTTTCCTTTGTTTTTACCCCTATTGGGTGAAATTCCATTCACTAATACCCAAATTAAGTGGTATTAAATCAGATTAACCAGCAAAATTAGACTTTTTTTGATACAAACTAACCTTATCCTAACTCGTTTAAATGATTAGAGGTTTGGAATGGGGGGTATTCTTGTTCTTTACTAGTCTTTAGATGGCGTACCCAAGGTAGCAATGGGATGGTCAACCCACACATCGCAAGCCTGGCCCTTGAGATTAAGAACAAAATTCATCTGGGTTTACAAAGACCTTCAGATCTAGATAGAGAACAAGGGCTTGCAATTTGACTGGCATAGGTCTCTTTCTCTCTCACACACACATACAAACTGTTGAGATCAGCATTAATTATTGATAGGTCAATATAATTAAATTACTCAAGAAAATATAATCAGAGTCTCTGAACCTTTTCACATTATCATTCCTCATGATTGCCTTTTATAGGTGCTGCATCAAGTTTTTTATAGGTTCCTAATAAACTGTGCATTGCTCATCCATTTCTGCAGAAAGTTGGCGATATTTTTGGATGCAACAGGGCAAAGACATGGAGAAACAGTTCTCTGTCTCTGTTATCCAATATATTTGGGATTAGCACCCTCAAAACTAATGCTTCCTTGGGCACCTGCAATCTGCATCTCTTGTAGAAATTAGTGGGAGATGGGCTCCTAAGGTGGCATGGGGGTCAGATTTCAGTCATATCTGCTTCATCCTCCCCCACAGCCCTACCCAACACAACCCAAGTTTGTAGTGTTGTGATCATCTAGCTAGAGAGAGAGAGAGAGAGAGAGAGAGAGAGAGAGAGAGAGAGGCTACCATTCACTGGAACCAATTCCTTATTCTGGAGCCTCTTCTCTACAAGAGTACAGATTCCATACACCAAAGAATGATACTCTGTAATGCATACTCCATCTTCGGGTAATTACATTGGGGGGGGGCGCAAAGCCTTGCGGCTCGACGAGAATATGGGGGCATCTTTTTATGACAGGGCTTTGTGATTATCCACAACATTAATAAAAGCCGACAGACTGTGTATAGGCCTAAGTAAAGTAATCTGTCTGTGAAGGTTTTCAATGGTCTGCACTCACAGGCTTCTTGAGGAAGGGCTTCTGGCAGATGAGGAGGCTGTCATCGCTGTTGATGCCAATCTCTACCCTCCGTGCATCCCATTTCAGCCGCATCGCCATGGATCGGGCGGTCTCAATGAGGGGGGAGGTGTCGCGGATTATCACCCACCCCTGCATCAGTCAGAGGAAGAACAGTGGAAGATAGATCAAAAAAGTAATTCACAACAAAATAAATATGATAATTATGAAAGATGAAACAATGGTGAGCAGTACCTCGGGCCTCAAGAGCCGATCCATCTCCAAAAATAGCTTCAGGAAGGAGCATCGGCGCTTCCGGAAAGTTTCAGACGAGAGCAGCCGGTCGGCGTGGACCAAGTCGTAAGTTCTTGGATATGAAGGGAATGCCTCGCACCTGTGGAAGACGAATAGATGTTCTCATCTGATCCATCGATATCTTCAAGTGGAAATTAAATGCCAAATCTCTGACAGTTACATTCTTCGACTGTAAAATATAGTGGGCAAGCTTGAATAATTCACCGAGGAAACATAGATGAGAGACACCGTCCCTACCAATCATGTCGAACACCGAGGAAGCCCCGATCAAGGATGAGAGAGAGGTGGTTGACGCTGCTTGTGGGAACGACATTCATGACCCACACAGATTTTCCAGCCCCAAGTAGAGCAGCGTTGAATCCACCCAACTGGGCATTCATATCCAGCACATTCCTCAGCATGTTGAACGGAGTAGAAGGGTCCTCATCACCAGGCCTTTTCGGATGATCTGAAAATATGAGCGGCGAGAGTAGGGCCCAGTAGTTGCTGACCCCTGCGCTCCACCTCAGCCCATCCTCAGAGAAGTCCTGTGGATCCACACCTGATATACATATATATATAATTTTAAAATATAAGAACTCTGCCTGTGATTAATGAAAATATTTCTTAGTTCGGCAATTACCATATAAGCTGACTTCGGTAGAGTTCATAGTGGCACATGCGGGCCAGGTTCTCCGGCCCTCAATGGAAACCCACCGATGGCTTCCGATCCCACTGATGCACGGATTGAGTGGCTTGTAGTATGGGGACTCGGCATCCAGGTCCCTGCTGCAGATCTCCGGCCCGGATTTCCTGAAACACTTGGGAGGATCAGTAACAATTCATATAACTGACCCCATCATCAACAGCGAAATTTCAGGCCTTTTTCTATTTTCAGTAATCTATGATATTTTCAGCAGCTGGATTTTCGAGCTTCGCACCTAGACTTGTAACACATCTTCTTGTCAGTCTTCTTCCAGACAATGGTTTCATCCTGCTGGGACATCATATCCCAGCACAAGCTCTCTGCGAGATTGCGAATGAGAGCCCATTGCCTCTGGTTCTGTGGGACCCGCAGGGATCTTAATGTGTTCGATGGTGAAGTCCACACAAAGTAACCGCCCGGTCTTAGAACTCGGTTGACCTCAAGAAGAAAGATACCGTCTGGACAAAAATAGAGCATAACCATTATAAACCAAACTCCCCACACAGATCCACGAGCATCGGGCCCAAGCTAAGTTCTTTCAGAAAATAAAAATCTGAAACTCTACTGGGATAAACGCCATTAAAAAAAAAGCCTTTTTGAAAAATAAACTCGGGGTAGTAAATACACTGTTCATAAGGCTAGCGCAGTGAAATCATACTCGTTTAATTTAAAATGAACTCATAAATTCGGACCAACTCGACCGAGCAGCCCACATCAACTTGTGGAAAGAAAAGAAGAAAGAGTCAATAAAGATGTTTAAAAAGTTGTTAAACAGAAAGAAAAACGCAGAAAAGCAAGAATTTCCAAAAGATGCCCGCCTGATTATTAATATACATAAGAAGTGATCCGACATATTAGAATCTTGCCCCGGGTCAGTCGGAAATTGATCTGATTTGGACAAATCGGACTGTGTGGGTTCATAGAAAATTCTCACATTCATGCAGTAAAGTGGGAGCTCATATAAAACCTCTTTACAATAATATATTTAAAAGCTCGTGAGAAAGTACCTCTTGCTCCCCAATCAACTCCACATTGTGCACAATGAACCATGTCAAAGGAGAGAAATGGGTAGGGCAGTTGCTTTGATGTGAGTGAAGCAATCATGGCAGGGAGGCCTCTTTCAAGTGTTATCTGGACCTGGCTACCAGAGATCTCATAACCTGCGATGCACATAGTCAACACCTGCTTCAAGAAGAGGTATGCCCCGAAGCTGCCAAAGCCACACCCAATGTCCAACACGGTCCTGACCTGAAAAATACAAATCCAATTTCAATTTAAGAAATAACACATAATTAGTAATGCCAAACTTTACCCAAAAAAACTGGAGATCCGGACTCTCCCAGAAGATGAACAAGCACTGAGAGAAGGTACCTAAGAGTAAGGATGAGATAAAGAATAGAGCGACTGCAGAGGAAACATGAGAATTTGATGCAGTTCCATGAGAATCTGATAAGTTTTTTATTTTATTTTAAATCTCCAATTAATTTGGTCTCATGAGGAGATACAAATAAAATGGTGATATTTACAGCTTTAAGGCAATGATATGGTCGACTTCTCCTTTTTGGCTTCAATTTTTTTTTTTTTTTTTACATGGATTGATCCATATGTGCAGCCATATCGTGAATCTTCACTAATTTAAAGAGAAAAACCCATCAGATTCCTAAGAAAACGACTACACAAAACAAAACGTAGAAGCAACATCAGCATTATCCCCTCTGTCAATGCGATACCCCCGCGGTGGATTCCTATTTCAGATGAAGACAGAAAGAAAAACCAGAACAAATAATCGTAAACATATCAGAAAAATTAAAAACTGCTTTCAGGAGCCTTCCTGGGGTTGAAATTTTTTTGCCAAATACCCTTCTCATTGTGTAAAAATAAAATAAAATGAAGCATATTAATCAACGGAAAGATAAACACGGAATTTATGGACCAAACACCATAGTAAATCCCATTTCTTTTCATTTTCTTTGCTCTACCAAAGACCAGACCAGTATGTTTCGAGCTAGAAATGGGGAAGGTCACTCACACCGGCGTTGTTGAGATCAGACTCGCTTCTGAGCCCAATCATCTCTGCGATCTGATGGGTGTAGTCCTCAACTCCGTTAACCATTAAAGAATTTGAGTGAAAGGATATGTGTTCTTCCTCCACCATCATCCTGGAAGCGCAAGCCAACGCCGAAATCTAAGAAAGGAAATGGAAAGACTGGCAAAAGTAGACCGAATCAGGGACCTTCTTTACCTCTTGGTCAAGCTGCCCGAGGAAAACTCTTCTCCGGTGATCTTGACGTTGTCCTTCCATATGAAGTCTCTCCCTGTCGGCCATCTGAGAGGGATTCTGTAGTCCATGGGGGTAGGCACCACACAGCCTTCCTCCACGGAGGACTCCCTGGGACACCGGCGTTCAGACTCAACGTGGGCATAATTAGGCTCCTCCGAATCTAATTTCTCGGATGCATTGTAGCATGGGACGTAATTCTCTAACTCAGGTGGGCAGAATTCCAGCTCCTTTGACTTGACGGCGCCGCGAGAGAGCTCCCCGATCTCTGAAAAATCTGCCACAAGCTGCTCCTGAAGTCGCCTATAGTTCTTGTGGATCTTCCCTCGCGATGTCATGGAGATGGAGATGGTCCAGTAGAGGGACCCCAAGATGGCCAGCGCCATGACTAGAACTATGCAGAGCTTGAGGACAAAAAAGACCGTGGTCTTCCTACTTCTTGAGACCGCCGCGGCCGCCGCCACTGAAACTGGGCTCCGAGTTTCATGCCCCTGGCCATTCTCAAAATCCTTCTCCTGGGAACCGTGATCAAAGGACCGCTTGTAATCCAGCCATTTCCCGGCGCCGCCGCCATTGAGACGCGGGCCGCCGCCGGATGGCCCGCGGAGGAGAGGCCTCGACATCGCCGCCGCCTTCGCCGCCCGCGACCAGCGGGAAGGAAGGAAAAAGGGAAACCCAGGACAAGTGAGACAAGCTTGCCCAGGTAAAACCCACAACCTAGTTCTTCCTCGGGCCGAGAAGAAGAATAGATCGCGTTTGTGGGACGATGAGAGATACAGAGGAGGGAGAAGGGGAGGAAGCGTACCTTCTACCGATCGCCGGCTACGCTCATACCCTGCTGCCGCCAGAAGGATACTGATATAATAGAAGATCGACAACTCGGCATAGACAAAGAAGTTGGAACAGCAGGGGAGGAATGTAATCCACCCTGCCGCCTCCCTCCCCCACCCCCCCTCCTTTCTCGCTCGCTCAGCGTCTCTCTTCTCACCGCATTCCTCGTTCTCTCAGCTCAGTCAGGTACGGACCGAATCACCGGGGCTTTGTTATTTAATGCCGGCCGACAGAACCACCCAAAAAAAAAAAAAAACCTAGAAACGAACGAGTGCGAAGGAAGGGGAAATAGAGCGAGATAAAGAGCGAGATCAAATCAACATGTGAGGAGGAACAGTAGCCGTTGCGTGGGGATCCCCACCAAGCGACGTTCTGCACGGTTCAGAGGGGCGGCATTCATGAGGCCGCTCGGTGGTGGCAGTACTCGAAGGTCCGCGATTTCCCACTTCTCCCCCTTTAGAAAAGGACCCACTCCGCTTCCTCTGATCTCCCCATTTATGAGACTGCTGTCTTTTCCTCTCACTACCCAGTATGGCAATGCCGCGTCCTTCTCTCTCCTCTCTCTCCCTCTCTCTCTCTCATCTAGATCGTTCGCTCTCTCCACTCGGGAATGCTGCCGACGCCGTGAAAACCCACCTGCGCAGCCCCCGGAACAAAAAAGGAGACTCTTTTAGTTACGTGCGCTCGTAAATCCCCATAGACACTTACATTTCTGCCCTTTTCTCGAATACCACGCCACTATTGGAAATTACGCGTAGCCCTATTAAGGGCATATATGACAAAACGTAGACAATCTTCCCTTCCCTCCTCCAAAGCTAGAAAATTGCAATGATCAGAGATGTCGCTTTCCTCATCGTCAGCATAATTATAATTCTCTCCTTGCATTTGTCCGCTAGGATTAGGTCTGCAATCATTTTCATAGTTTAATTACGATGGAACCTTGAGATATAATATCAAAACTAAGGGGGGTGTAACTGCAACAAAATAATTATCAACTAGCACCGTCGTTGACCATAACAAAATTATCAAAACCCATTTACTCAGACAGATTGTTTAAAGCTGATATTTCATGCACCTACAGCGCAGAGAACTTGAGTCACAAGTCAACGAGTCGAGGGGGGGAAATGATGAGCTGCTACCTGAGACATCATCATGCTTCTGAGTTAGCATCTGTCGAACTTGTTGACCGTGTTAAGTCAATTCTCCTCTTGAATTCCATAGAAAGTGTCTACTTGGGCGCGGTAGCAGGTGGGTGACAACTCTGTTCATGCTTTAAGAAGCAATGACCATGTGGCTTTATACCAGCTTACACATTGATTAACTAAATTATTAGCAGGAACGGAATTTGAGAAGTCAACGCTTAGTGGTGTGTGATTTTGGTAATAACACAAATGGGGAAACGGGCCAGGTCAATTAAGAAAGCCGTTAATCGGACGGTCCTAACGCAATGATATAAGATCGGATCGGAAACGTTGTATTTCCTAGGGATGAGGGGGTGTTGTACCTTAACTAATGATAAATTATAAACATGAACACCGTGTAGTTCGGGGGTCATGTCCTGAGATGATCTTCACCATGGGCATAGGTCTGTGGGCCCGGCCTCTCCTGTGGGTCTTCTCTCTCTCTCTCTCTACTGGAAGTCGCCGGGGCCCACCTCGTGGTCGCGGTGGTGTTCCCCCTTCCATGCAGAGAGGGGGACCCTGCTTTGCCCCCCAGAGAAAGTATACGCTGTGAGAGCATGTTAGCGAGGACTCCCCATCCCAGTAGGTACTCCGTCACCTTCGAAAACGAAGCACCGACAGCAATCCCACCACAAATAGAAAGATGGAGATAGAGAGAGAGAGAGAGAGAGAGAGGGAGAGAGAGATGTATATATATATATACTCACAGATAAAGAGAGGGATATATAGAGAGAGACAGAGATAGAGCGGCATATATATATATATATATATATATAGATAGATAGAGAGCGAGATAAAGGGGGGGTGTGTGTGTGTGAGAGAGAGAGAGAGAGAGAGAGGGGGTTGGTGGCTATGACGGCGAAGGGGCAACCGAAGACCCAAGTGGGATTCAAGTCGGGCCCCTATGGACAGTCTCGCACGTATGAACGTGCCACACGCTAGGCACCCATTGACGGCGCGCATGTGTAGCCACTTGCGAATTCTCGGCGCGGCCTCCTCTTCGGGGGGCCCATGACCATCTTTTTTTCTCGACTTAAAGTCTTCCTGGGACAAGAAATGGGCCGCACGTGAAAATTCGCTATCACCTAAGTCCTTATTAAAATGAGAAAAAAACGCGGAGACACCATTGGAAAAAAACTATTGCACCCTGCACCAGATATGGGTAACGACAGACCCACAATTTCCCATCAAATATGGGTGGGGAAAAAAACCATGGGAGTATAAACACAATTAAACTTACTTTCATAGAAATGTCCTAAATCTTTCTGAGCTCAAGCATATTTGCGAAAAAAGATCAAGTCTGGGTCCAGGTGTGGACCTTGATTAGGTCCAATAAGAAGGTTGACTCATTTCTCCGACTGTCAATGGCTCATGCCCACCGCTTTTGAATCTTCCTCCCTCTCCCACTCTCCCACTCCATCAGAGTGGTCTATATAAAGAAGATCCTAATGGGTCAGGTTTGGGCCGAATTTGTCAAAGCGTTGACCCAGTCCTAGCCCACGGTGCCCCATGGAGTTGGGAAGTGAATTGACCTTTGATTATTTCCAAAGAACCAACCTTCAGAACCGGGTCAAAGAAGATCTCAACTTCCTTTCCATAGAACAGAAGAAAAATACTCACCGGGAGAAGATCCCCTCCGCAGCTCATTTCTTTGCCCCATTATCGACGCGGTATTCAGAGCTCAGGGACCTGGAGATGAGAAGGAGCACTTAATAATCCCATGCTGACAGAACGAATGATCAAAAGGGCAGAGCGCGCCATGTGGACAGCGCCTTGCAGCCATGGAGATGGCAGCAAAGTTGCAAATTTTCTAGCAGCCACCTTGGCCGTTCGACAGAGGAGAGAATATGCATATAATGCATTAACTACAGATCTCGCCACCTATGACTTTTTTCCGAGGAAATTATACATCGAATCTCACAGGACCCACGAGAGAAATCGATGGCGTAATAAAGATATATATATATACATGTATGTATATATTTATGCTATAAACGACTACTGAAGGTTGGAAGACATGGTTAGAAAGAATACCTGATCCACGGAAATGGAAGTAGAAAATAGTAGGAACTGCATCAACTTCCATGAGCTTCAAGCCAGAATCGGAAGATATTTTCTGGGCCTCAATTTGTCATGTAGATAGCATCGAATGGGCCTCAATTTGTCATGTAGATAGCATCGAGTATCTGTTTTTTTTTTTTTGGGCAGCCCCAAAAAAAATAAAATGAAAGAACTGAATTGGGAAGATTTTCTTCTTTAATAGTTACGTTGTGTTAGCATGTCACTTGTCAATGCTGTGGTGTTTCTAGCTGCCTTTATTCGAGAAATAAGAGCTTCTCCAGAGATACCCAAACCTTTCCTTCCCACCAGCTTCGTTCCAGATCTTCGAGACAACAAGCCTAACCTATCTGCATCCCTGTCCAATGCAGCCAACTCCACCACCTCCTTTCTGGAAATAACTCCGTAAAGAAAATGAGAATAGCTTTCAAGATTTCTCTCACCAATCCCCAGGCGCAACAGAGAAAGTGAGTCCAGATGCCCAGAACACGGATCATAAAGAACTGAAAAGCCACCAAAAGATGCATCAGGATTCTCGAACAACTTGTCCAAGTCAAAACTTTGCTCTCGGATGTCTGCTTTTCTGGTTGGTGGAGCAGCTGACCTCCTCTTAGCCAACCTTGATATGCTTGCCGCTTCTCTCAAACCACTGAGTAAAGCTCCATGCATTGTCGCAGGGTATCGACGGTTAGTTGCCTCCCCAGCAAAGAAGACCCTCCCATCTCCCACACTCTCTGCTAGGAAATCATAATCATCCCCAGAAGCTCCGACGGCGACATAAGAGTAGGAACCATATGCAAACTTATCCGCTCCCCACCTAGTACAGACTACCTGAACTGGGTCAGGAACTTCAATACCCTTTGGAGAAAAAATCCTCCTCAGGGTCTCCAGCACTCTCTCCACTGGCTCAACAGGAGGCATCTGCTCAAACTTTAAGGCTGATTCCCCTGCAACGAGTGCAACAAGGAGAGGGCCACCAGAGACTGAAGAGTAGCTATAGAAGAGAAAGAATTCCCCACGCTGGCTTTCGTCCTCAGTCAAGTGACCAAACGTATCAATCCCTCCACCCCAGAAGTCACGGGGGAAAAGCATAGCGACTTTGTTCAATAGCCCAAAACCCAGTCTTTTTATTGCCTCCTGCTTTGACAATGGGAGGTCCGGCACAAATTCGATGGACCCCTTCTTGAGTACACCCAATGGAACAGTACACAAGGCCATGTCTCCTCGAAAGATCTGCCCATTTGTGTAGACCAGAACCCCATCACTACCATACTGTATTCTACTCACTGTCTTCCCATAGAATATTGGGAGGTTCTCGATGAGGGCACGCACAAATCTCACGTTGCCGCCAGGGATGAAGCAGTGATCACCACCCATCTCGTAGGGATCATCCTGGTCCCAGAACGCCATAGACAGGTCCGACAACAGTGCTGCATTGGCATACTCCAAGTTGGCAAGGTGCCAATTCAAGAGCATTCTCTCCTCCAGTGTGTCTGCAACACCGTAGACCTGCCTGAATGCCTCCAATGCAGTGCCGAGAGGTACATCAACGGATTTTACATACTCCAGGATCACCTGTCTCAACTTACACACCTTCTCAAGGAGCTGGTTGAAAGCCACCTCCACCTTTGAGTCGATATCAGGGTCCACGGCCCGGCCATCAGGAAGATACAGGGGGCACTTGTCCCGCACCTTGTGCAGGGGAAACCCCAGTTGCCTTGCAAGCACACCAAGAGGATTCCCGTTGATTCCCGTTAGAACACTCCCACCGAGGTCCACCGCCGCCACCACCCCGTTGCCCTCCATTTTACGAGTCAGAACGCGCCCTCCAGGCCGGTGACGACCTTCGACAACCGCCACCTTGAAGCCCAGAGAAAGCAAGTGACGGGCAGCGGCCAGTCCAGCGAGCCCAGCCCCGACGATGATCACGTCGGCTCTGGTGGGGGCGCCGGGGGGCCGCCACCCAGCCTCCTTGATGGCGGGGGCCAGGCCGAAGTTGATGTAGCCATGTTCGAGGAGGAAGTTGTACGCTGCCATCACCAGTGCGCGATGCTCCGATCTGATGGACTCCATGGCATGGTCCGGCGTCATCCAGATTGATACATTAGAGCGCCAGCGAGAGACAATGTGATTGCGAATGACGATGTAGTTGGCCTGATCAGCACCACCAATGATCTGCACCACGTTGGATTCGATCTCCTCCTCCGTAAGGGAGTCCCCAGGGAACCCAACCGCAACGGCAATAAGCGCCTCCACGTCGATCTCCCGCGCGAGGCTGCCGCCAGCGCCGCCTGCGCCCGATGAGGACGTTCTCCGGGGGCGCCCCCGCTGGCGCGGCTTCTGAGAGTCGCCGCCGCCGTCGTCGATCTGGATCCGGATGATCTCGTCCATCAGCTTCTCGTCATAAAGGGCGGCGCGGCTGGTGGCAGGTCGGAGCACGCGAAGGCGTCGCGTGGGGACCATATCGGAGAACAGTCTCTTCCTCCGACGGCGCTTCTTGCCCGGCGGTGCCGCCTCCTCCGGCGGCGGGGCGTTTTCGGAATCCACAACCAGTGAGGGCGCAGCTGCTCCCCCATTCGCGGGCTCCATAGGCGAACTCTGGGGATCAAGAAGTGGCAGCGAGGCTGTGGCTTGCAGGTCCTCGGATGGACAGCTCTGGTGGGGATCGGAGGAAAGGGGATCAGAGTTCAGGGAGACGGTACCAGAAGCCATGGCCTCGGAGGGTGGCGGCGGAGGAAGAGGAAGCTCCGGTGGAGAAAAGGATGCCTTCCCTGGATCAAGAGAAGGCGGGGGATGAGACGGCCCTTCCATCGGCTATGGCGCTGAGGAGAGCCTCCACCTCCCTACCTCTTCCTCTGTCCTCGGTTGCCCTTCTGAGCCACTTTCGTGAAGAGGGAAGATGAAGAAGGGGATGCGGTAGCGAATAAATAGTGTCAACCGATTTACATGTTTCTCGTGCGCTTCCAATACTTCAAATTCCCGCTTCGGACGGCGAACAAGACCGACGGACGACCGTATGATTCATGTACACTGATACGTACGAGGTCTATAAATCTCGAGTTATGCGCTGATGATTTCGGATTAACGGCCCCTCTCTCTCTCTCTCTCTCTCTGAGGGGCAGCCCATGGCGGTGCGAGGCCACTGGTAATCTGTAGAAAAAGGGCGGGAGAGGAGGGAACGGGCAGTGCTAGGGATTGGATGATGATGGAGGGTGGAACAATGAGGGAAGAAGGGACATGGAAGGTGTTTGACGGCGAGAGTTTCTTTCTCAGGAGGGCCCCGCGTGGAAGGTCGCCCGCAGGACCTGTTGCTCCTCCGTTAGAGCGCTGCGGGCCCTTTTTCCTCCTCGCTGAAGGACGAATTGAGGGGGCTTACCATCGATCTTCGTCGAGAGGAAGCCATGTCCGTGAAGGTATGTGTACCAAACTTATTCGCTCGACAACCAGAAACGATATGCAGGGGAGATTTGGCTGCAGGGGACGAAGATCTCCCACTGAATGATGGAATTCGTACTGATTCGTATGACGGTTCTTGTTAAAAAGGATCGGAGAATTAGTTCCTGATTCAGTTTCTAGGGCTACTCCCATCCAAATGCCGGTTAATGTTTTTTAGCATGTCTTCTTCTTTTTCTGATCAACACATCTAACTGTTGGATCTGACATATGGCGATTGATGATTTAAACACCGAATTCATCTCGATGCCAGTATAGCCTGTTCGAACAGATTCGATTTCAAACTCGAGGTCGAGACATTGATGAGATATTTATTGCTCGTCATCCTTCATAGATCCTACTTCAGCAGCTGCTTTCTCTGCGGAGTATATAAGCGCTCTTTTCTTTTGTGGATTACAGCTCACCTCACTCGGTTGATCTGGCCCATCTGCGAGGCAAGTTCTTGCACAATACTCATTGGTGTTTATCTAATAAAAAGATGACAAGGGAGAGGAGAATAACTACGAGGGGAACCACGTTATAACTGGTTCTTGAATTATCTTCAATGGTTTGTTTCGGACACTCCGTCAACTCCAAAGCCCTGAAATCAATTCTCACTGTGTTTTTTTTCTTTTCTTGGGGGGGGGGGATCAATCTACTGTTGACCAGAACCCGAGTGAAATCTAATAAGTTGATGCTTTGGGATCCTTTTCAGTTCACAAATCTGGATTTGTGATGTGATTGGTGGTGTGTTTATCATTAAATTAGGAACTTATTTCAGTCATAATGATTCCATGGTGGCATATGTTGAAACTAAATCATTTGTTTGTAAGATGTAAAATAAAATATATTATTGAATCTAATCGCAAAAAAAAGATAGTTTTCCAAATTATCCAGATTATAATATTGACGTTTGTGGTTGGTTCAAGATTCATACATTTTGAGAGCATAATATTATTTCACGAGGATCCCAGAAAAACATGTTAGCGGAGAAACTATTGGGAATGATAATATCTATTTTCTACTTTGAACTTGTTCTCAACTGCCCATTTTCCTCCAAGATGGATTCTTTACCTCCAACCATATGCTAACAAATGATGAGTGAAGAGATAGAAACTACAACTATTTCTCTCTCTCTCTATCTCTATCTTTTTAGATTTTTAGGTTTTTTATTCAATCTTACTATAACTTTCCCTTTTCTCTCTACCTGTAGATCCCCCCCCCCCCTCCTTACTCTTGTTATCCCTATTTGTCAATTTCCGTCCATTTTCTCTTCTTTTTAGTTGATCTCACTACCTCACCACAGCCTATACTTTACATTATGGGGTGACATGAGTTTTGCCGAATCCCTAGTAGACTAGCAAGTATACCAAGAGAGATGATGAATTGATTTTCTAAAGCATTTTATCATTTTTATATAGTTTTAATTTAATTTTTTCATTTTTACTAGAAGTGTATTGACAACTTTTGATCAAGATAGAACCCTATGGGTTGTCCAAAATTCATGTGAGTTTACACAATATTTTTTGTTGGATCAAGACATTAGTGATTTATAGTGATTTGATATTTCCATAGACTATGTGGATATTATCACCTCATGCCAAATATCAATGTATTAGCTTGTCATCTATATACATATTGACTTTCAAATTGTCTTCACATATGATGATATGTTATAAGTATTTGCAAAAACTTTCATATGCTAAAATGAATGATTCTTTGCTAATGAAGTTGATTTAAGAAAAGAAGTGAGCTTGAGCATGTAGGATCATGTATAAAGTTTTTCATCAGGATTTGGACAATGAAATGGATGAGATTTATGAAGTTGAGCTTTGTTTGATCTTGGGTTTAAAGACAACACTTAGGTTAGAAGGGAGGTTGAATTAATTTGTTCTTTCTCAATGTATGATAGATTTCTTTCTATGAATCAATCATTTTAACTTTCAATGTCTGAAGATTTTTCTAGGTTAATATCTTTAAGATGTGGAATTTAATAGTGGTTTGGTCCACTATTTATGTCTACTCTCTGATAACGAAATTAATTTTTTTGTTCCACTAGTCATATTATTGTTTGATAATAATCACTGATTATTCGGTTCCATAGTTCCAAGTTTATTAATAATTGATTAATAAGTTCAACTCCCTTAGGTGATTAAATAATATTTTAATTATGTTATTCTTTTAACATAGAAAATGATTTCATCATGGGTAGATTTTTGGGGATGATGTTAACTAGAGATATGTATGGAATTCCAACAAAGAGGATAAAGTTTACTATTTGATTTATGTTGTCTTCTTCACATAAAGATGTTGATAGGTGATGGAAGTCAATTTATTTTGAACATGTTAGTGATGAATATTAGATACTTGAAGAATGATTCTCAACTTAATACCTTTGCACACCTAAACTAGCTAACAAATATATTTAACATATATTTTTAGAAATTAATACAAAGCTTGGGATTGTAGAGGAGATAAAAAAATGATCATTCTCACACATTTAATTGTTGAACATATGTGATATTTATACATAAATCACATATGGAAAATTTCTCAAATGACTCAAATATCCTTGCATGAAGCTAATTGTTTATTCTTCATGACTTGAATGTATTAATATAATTACTTTTCTCAATATGGCATAATATAAATAGTATTATCTTATATAATTGTATATAACATGATAGTATTTTATGATGAATTCAATAAATATATGAACTTAGTATTGCTGGTCATGAGTATGTTTAATGAATTCTTATCTGAAAAATAACATTATATATTGAATTATTTATAAAACATTTTATATTTAAGTCATATCAATTATGTTCAAAATTATACATAATTTGATCTTTTAATTGATATATCCATTTGTTATCATCATCAAAATATCATATATTACATAAAATTTCATCTAAATGACTTTTTATAGAGCCTAAAATTTCAATAATTGAAGTTCAAATGAGTGAAATTTGATTGGTCAAATAATTTTTTTATTGGCATATGTGATTGATTGGTCAAATATTTTATTTGTCAACTAATGGGTTGACACACAGTCATGATGATATAATCAAACTAGCTTAGATGGATGGATTGACTAACTTTTGATTTGCTTAATTGTGTTTGTCCCTGAAACTTCTAATGTCCCATGATTTTTTGATGTGCCTACCTAATATCCTCTAATGTGACATGATCTCTTGATATGTAAGCTTATGATTTTTGGAATGTCTTGATCTTTCAACATATTAGGATTACTTGCCCTTGTTAGATACACCTTCATATGAGATTTAATGCTATGCCAACTTGTCCATTGGGCTTTGGGCATGTGACATATTAATAAATTGACTTTGCCACATGTCACTACTCTATATTGTGTCTTCTTGATTTAGACATTTTGTGCTGACTATGTGTTAGATGATTTTCATGTGTCATATTAACTTTCCTTTGCCACATGCCAAGTTGTAGTATCCTAGTCATATTTATCACATGTCATATACGATGTTTAAACTTGTATATTTGGATGAACTAGATTATTGTTCATATAAATTTGAACTTGGTTTTTTGGGTTTTTTGGAGTGAAAGCTTAGAAAGAACGTGTTCCATAGACTTAGGCAAAAATATTTTTTGTAGAATTTTTTGTTATGCACAAAAGACCTCAAATATGAACTCACTCTAAACATATTGCATCATTATTCCTGAGAAAAAAAACATATTATCTGGAAATTATTTATTTCAGCATCCATTTGAGAGATATCATTGTAGCAATGAATCAGTATAACCACCTATTTGCACCATAAGCCCACATGCTCTTAACAATTTCGTGACGAGCTTATATAGATTAATGCCAAGAGTTAGGTTTTGGTTGCATCCGACATGTGATCCTTACATGCCTCGACTTGCCATCTCGTCTTCTTCTTCCTTCAGGTTTGATAGGAACCCCCTGTTTGTGGAATGGTATGGGGCTTAGATGGAAGGGATAATTGATGATGTTTAGAAGGGAAGGAAGATTCCACTTGAATTAATAGAGAGGAGGGAAGGTAACACCCATGAAACAAGTGGGATACATGGATATATATATATACATATATATTTATTTTTTGAGAGAGAAAGAGAGAGGGAGAGAGAGAGGGAGGGAGGGAGGGAGGGAGAGAGAGAGGGAGGGAGAGAGAGAGAGAGAGAGAGAGAGAGAGAGAGAGAGAGAGAGAGAGAGAGAGAGAGAGAGAGAGAGAGAGAGAGAGAGAACTCTTTTGGGATAGGCTAATTTTAGATGGTCCATTTCTTGATTTTCCACATAGAGTTACACCCAAAACTCAGCCTTCCCTCAATGGCATTGCTCATTCTTCTATCTGATGACTCACTTTTTCATGTGATGGTTGTGATCA